ACTGTGAATAGACCATATCGCCCACGTTCAACGTGAGCTTGGCAGCACCGGCCTCAATATCCCAAATCTTAACAGTGAAGTCGCCGGACGACGTAGCCAAGACATTTTCCGCCGCGGGGTTGAAGAGCACATGTCCGATTTTCCTGTAATGTTGTTAACCGTTTACTGCGTCTAAAGTACGTTTATGACAAGGTAGGCGCCGTGGTGAGGGACTAACTTCGGGTGACCGCTCAGCTTTCCGACAGGTGCAATATCCTGGACATCATCAAGGTCGACATCGGGGCGGAGGGTGAAGTTTTCGGGTACGCGCCACAGGAGGGCCTAGATCGGGTTATTTAGCATTGAGATTGGAACCCTCGGGTTAGTCTGGGGTTGTACCTTGCCGTCATCGGAACCGGATGCAATCAGGTCATCGTTAAAAGGGTTCCTAGGTACGTTGGCTTTCTGGACGTGTGACTTGGCTTGAATATGAAGTGACCGCTGCTCACCAGTCGGTATCCAAGACTGCTGCAGTGTGACCACGGAACAGAGGGATTCTCTCAGGCAATTTGCCCCGCTCCTCCAGGGGAATGACGGCAAAAGCACCACCTCCACCAGCTGCCCAGTTTACAGACAGGTATTTGGGGTTGACCTTGAGTAATCGTTAGTTCATATCGCGCGGACGGGTCAGGGGGTGGTCGGCGTGGAACGGAGGCGAACCTTGACGAGATTGCTGTCCCAGGCATTTGCGGACACGCGGAGGTTATCATAACATTGCTCCTACAGGCGTTGTCAATGAGGTACTGGCATTGCGATGCCGAGGAATTTGCTGGGTACCTTTCTTGTGTTCCGCCCGAAGACGTGTCCTAAAATGATACCTGTCAGATTGCGGGCAACATCAAAACGAGGGGAGGGAATGCAATGGCAGCTCACGGTATTTAGAGGAACGGACGAAACGACCAGACATCACGCTGTCACAGATTGAGACACAGCAAAAACCGTGATCACGACAAAGGAAAAAAAAAATAAAAATAAAACAAAAAAAAAGGAGAGAGCAGGAGAGGAGGCAATTGAAAGGGCAACTATGAAACAGGGAAGCTGTCGGTCTGGGAAAGTCGACGCCGTCCACTTTTAGTCGGAAAGTAGGTCTTCGGTGGGACGACCCGCACGCGGGAGATGGATTCACTGGGTGACGGTTGCAGGCAAGGGGGGTCCACGCAATTTAATGATCAGCAATCAAAGTCAATAACCGTTCAATTGTTGAGAACCGAAGGTCCGATTGCAATTGGCATGGAAGTGAAAAAATTGATCTCAACCCGGACATCTCGTGACGATGGTATATTGTCGGTATGATACCGTCGGTAACGCTGGCTCCTTATGGTACATAGTATACTCCATACACAGTTGTCCTCATCGGAGGGTAAGGTATCAAATGGATACGATACGCCTAGCCTTCTCTGGGACTAGCGCCTCCCCGCCGCAAAGTGGCTGAGTCAGCACCGCCCAGATGCCCAATTTGCTCAGTTTGTTTACCGTCTTGCGTTACTCCGGAAACTGGCGCTTGGATCGTCAAACGACAAGCCAAACTTCCAAACCAAACTCAACATCCATCACTGGGAAGAAAAGTCCCTGGCGACTGACGACCTGACCTTCGCGCTACTTACCATGCGGGACCCCTCCTCACTGCAATTTGTCGACAATTGATGGTGATTCGCCCTTCCCCGCTTTGACTTTTCATCTGTTTGTATAGCTTGCAGTGTGTTTGTCTTCCCATTCTAGACGGTGGCTCCGAAAGCTTCTGCCTTCATCTCTCCGCTCTATCTGAGTATCCTTTTACCGGTACCAGCCATTGTTTGTTTTTCATACATGATGGATAATGAGAACTTGGTAATGATGCCTGGCTTGACAAACTTCAGCCTCCGCCTTGACTGACGCACTCTCAGACGCAATCACGAGCCCCTGCCCGCACACGCATACCCGCCGCTGGGCTCAGAGAAATGAGTTCAGCTAATACTAATTCGCGGTCAGGCATCTTGCCCCCTGGCTCAATTGCTAAAACGTCGTCGCGTAAGTGAGATAACAAGCCGAGTTAGCTGGACTGTAGCGCTCACAGGGACAGAACCCACTCGTCCGAGGAGTACCACACAAGGCGCTGAGACCACCAGAACGAGAACAACGTCCACGACCTTGTCAGGAAAACCTCATAGTCGTACAAATTCCCATGCAACGACTACCTTGACTAGATCTGCTTCTACCACATCACGAACTACCAAAGCGTCCCACGCCACCGGATCTAGTACGCGACCCCACTCGGCATTATCACGCCCCCAGACTTCGCTAGCCGGCGCCCGACGACCCAATGGCCATACAATTGCCCGACCAGCAACATCGTTGGACACCCATCACGAGGAAGATTCAAGCGTTTTGGGGAAGAGAAAGGGTAGGCGACAATTTCACTTTGATTCCCCCGATTTTGCAAGTTTCGCGAGCCCGTCTTTGTCAGAAAGCATGTATGAACATGTCCCACATAATCAGTCAGGAGCTCAGTCGTATTCCTCTCAAGAATTTGAGGGACCCCCGCGACCTGATCGCCGTGAGATATCCCTAAGCAGTGCTTTGGATTCGTCAGCTATGGGCCCTCTCCCCGCAAGGACGCTGGACCCAAAGACTTTTCCAATGCATAGGACGTTAGCCCCTCTTGGATTAGCTACCCCTACCACACCCACCCCTTCGTGCAAGCCCCTGTCACTATCTAAACATTCCTCCAGGAGAAAACTTCCCCCTGTGCCTCAGTTTCTCACCAAAGATTCAATGATCACCTCTTTTAACTTCTCTACAGGTGCCGAGTGGGACCAAGAAACACGCGAGAAGACGATGGAGGAATTCTTCAACGCCTTTGTCTCCCGAGTAAGTCAGGCTGGCCAGGAGAGTTTCGGACTCAAAGAAACCGTGGAGCTGTACAAATCAAGAGGTAATCGTCCAAGTTCTAAATATAGGGTGTAAAGGTGCTCATATCGTTCGATTTGCAGTGAACGACCTCGAACAGTCGCGAAAAGATCTCACGGAGGCAAACCTAGCCTTGCGCGTCGAACTCGAATCAATGAAGGCTCGCATCGGAACAGCGGAAAGCGCTTTACAGGATGCCCAGAGAGAACATGAGCTCGCGATGGATGGGTTCAGTTCGCGCCAACAGCTCGAAGTTGAGACCGTGAGGGCTGAGAGCAAGAAGAAACTAGAGAGTGTAATTGCGCAACATGAAGACCAGCTCTGCGAGTTGAAACGGCGATTTGAGCGTGAGATGGACGACGAAAAGGCCTCGCGACTCCGCGAAATCAACCAACTCACATCGCAGACCGCCCTGGATGCACAACGTTCCCAGATTGAGCTAGACAGGAAAGATCGGGAAATTGCCTCGCTCCAAAATGAGGTGCAAGCCCTGCAACAAGAGATTGAGCGAGAGCGCAAGAGTACCCAGGGTCTCCGGAAGAACCTGGACACAGCCAGCAGCAATAGCGTAACTCTAGAGTCGTCGGTTCGTGCGCTCAAGGCTCGCATTGAATTCCTGGAGTCCGGTCGCGAGGAGCAATCTCAAGCGTTTGAGCGGTTGAATCAGCAGATGATGGATGCTCTGGCCGAGACCAACGCCACCAAGGATAAGTTGCGGAAAGAGGAGACCCTCCGAAGGAAACTACACAACCAGGTTCAGGAGCTCAAGGGCAACATCCGGGTTTTTTGCCGTGTCCGACCCTCTTTAGAAACGGAGCCGCAGACGGGCGTCGCTCAGATTCAATACCCCGATGCGTCGGAAGAGTGCAAAGAGATTAATGTTTTGGGACAGGAAGAGAAGAGCAGCCTGGGCGCCATTACCAAGAAGAACAACAACTTCGCCTTTGATCGGGTATTCGGGCCGTCAACCCAGAATGCGGAGGTATTCGATGAGATCAGCCAGCTTGTCCAAAGTGCACTTGATGGGTACAACGTGTGCATTTTTTGCTATGGGCAGACCGGTAGCGGTAAGACCTATACCATGTCTTCGTTGGATGGCATGATTCCAAGGGCTGTACACCAAATCTACGAGACTGCCACTAGTCTCAAAGAAAAGGGTTGGAAGTATATTATGGAGGGAAACTTTGTGGAGGTGTATAATGAAAATCTGAACGATCTTTTGGGCAAGGCCGAAGAGCTTGACAAGAAGAAGCACGAAATTCGGCACGACATGCAACGAGGCAAGACGACCATTACAGATGTTACCACTGTGCGCTTGGATTCGCCAGAGATGGTGGAAAGTATCCTCAAACGTGCCGCGGCCAATCGTTCGGTCGCTGCTACAAAGGCCAACGAGAGGTCATCGCGATCTCATTCCGTCTTCATCCTGAAGCTCATCGGCGAGAATGACATTACCGGCGAGCGCAGTGAGGGAACGCTCAACCTCGTGGACTTGGCCGGTAGTGAGCGACTGAGCCACAGCGGTGCAACCGGCGAGCGATTGCGGGAGACACAGAACATCAACCGCAGTCTCAGCTGCTTGGGCGATGTGATTGCCGCATTGGGACAGGGTAAGGACGGCGGACACATTCCCTATCGCAATAGCAAGGTAAGTTCCCCTGACTGTTCCGTTTGGAATCAAGGTAATAACGAGTTGCAGCTTACCTACCTCCTCCAATTCTCCCTGGGAGGGAATTCGAAGACGCTCATGTTTGTCATGGTCAGTCCGCTGCAGGCACACCTGGCCGAGACCTTGACAAGTCTCAAGTTCGCCACGAAGGTGCACAATACCCACATTGGGACAGCTAAGCGACAGGCGCGCGTTCGTGATTGTTAATGATACCTTGGATGGTGATTTGCGTTAGATATCCCTGTCTTTAAGCCGGTGTTTGGAGTTCATCGTTGAAGATACACCCCTTTTCTACTTATGACGAATACTGTTTCATGTACGGACTTGTTTAGCTCTCTTAATCTCAGGCTTCTTTCTACTGTGACTTTTCACAATATGCACATATCGAGAGCTCATAGACAGCAACTGTAGAGTGAATATGAGCACCATTCACAAAGTTCCTGATATGTCTGGGCTGAATGGGTGTTTGTATTGTGGCTCATGTCATGTGGATGATATCATATCTTTTTGCTTAGTGGCGATGTAGATGTGGTTTCTTGAGAGCTTGTTATCGAAGGTTATCTTATCATTTAAGAAATGGGTGCATGTCTGGCACGACATAAGTTAGTCGCGCTATGTAAAGTGCTATCTAACTACAGCTCGTAGGCCAGACAATAGATAAGTTTAACTGGATGAACGACCGCCATCATTGCAAAGTACCAAAGTACCGATCAACCCTCTCTCCCAACTTACGGGACTTCTCCTGAATACTGTCCTTCTCAAGGACTCCCTCTTCGCAGATGAAGGTATCCACCAAGTCCAGAGGAACCCATTCAAAGTAGTTATTCTCCACCGTCACAGACGAATTCTCCTGCTCTGACTTACTCCCTCTCATTCCATTCTCTAGCACCTGCACACCTTTGACACCGTCACTGCGCCATGCACTTGACACCTCGAAGGAATCATTGCCCTCGGTGAGTTCGTCGTTGATTACCCCAGCCGTTCCATTGACCTTCTCGATGTCGCTAAGCACGACAACTCGCACGCTTGGGGTGACATGCTTCGCGCTGAGCACCAAAGGCAGCGATCCAGTTTTGTTGCTGACACCCTTGGTGGCGGATATGCGGTCCGCACCGAGCAGGACGATATCGACGTCTTTGGCGGCCAGGGCAGCTGATGCATCAGTATACATCGTGATACGCAGATGCTTGTCGGGAGAATTCGACTGGGATTTGAAGGTCGATAAGATAGACGAGGCGAGGCTGGCGCCCTCGAAAAGCGGCCTTGACTCAAGGACCCGTACTTCCAGTGTTTGGATCCCGAGCGCGTCGTATGCTTCCAAAATACTGTCCCGGATAGTAGAACTGGAGGATATGGTAAGCATGGTAAGCCGATCCTTTTGTGTGCCACCGGGCGAAAAGTGAGACTGTAGGTACGAGATGAAGGATTGCTTGACCTGCTGTGCAGTATCGGCGCGATTTCTCAGGTGAAAGTCGATCAGAGCCAGGATCCGATCCCATTTTTGCTCGGCACCGGTCTTCTGCTCCATGATATCTTCTATCTCCGCTAAGACAGATAGAATGGCGTTCTGCGTGGCTGCACCCATGCTTTCTCGTCCGTTCTTGATGAGATGCCATGCTGCCATTCGAATCATGGCCCACCATTCCGCATCGAGGTGGTTTTGCGTGTACACGATATAGTCACGAAACACCGTGAGCGCTATCGCCGTCAACTCATGCGCGCCGCTCTCATGGTCCGCTCGCAGCCGTTCCAGACCAGTCGCAAGAGCCCTTCCTGCTCGCTCGTTGGTTGTGCCCTCAAACCAGACACTTTTTAAACTGTCTTGCAGACGTGGAACGGTGGTCAGGCTTTCGTCTTCGAGCACCGTGTGAGGATCGTACCACTGCCACCCTTCATGTTCCCAGTCAGTCCGAATGGCCTCCTCCCCCTGTCCCCCTTCTGCCAGATCTTTGAGACGGAAAGCGAACGGATGAACGGTCCATTCTCTGCCGATAGACGGGTCGCTGAAAGTGAATGGCTTGCCGGTGCGCCAGAAGCTGAGATCCGACGGGGTGAGGTTGGTTTCTTCGCACAATTCGCGCCACGCCGCCGCGAGAGGGTCTGGATCATCAGGATCGATGCTACCGGAGATAGGGGCAAGGTGATAACTATAGGTAGAAAGTCATGTTACAATAATCGTACGAGGCATGGTTGGTTTGGGAATCGCATCATACCGGTACGTCCTCACTTTTCCGCTCCGCTTGAACAACGCTACGGACGGCTTGGTTGGCTGCCCCGGAGGGAAGCGAAAGATGAAGGAAGAGACGACTGCTCTCTTTATCATAGTATGAGATTGTTGGGTTCTCTGGGAGTCCTGTGCTTGGGTTGCCATTTCCTTGAGTGTCATGATCGGGCGTGGAATAAATTGAACTACCCCGCAGTAGACGGACAATCAATCTATCGCAGACCAAAAGGTCATAGGGTGCATTTCACTTGAGGATGCCTGTGGGTGGCATTGTATCGGTGAGATGATAAATAATAGATACATGAAGGGCAATCCAACGCATCCTATAAATATGGAAGGGTAATTAGTGAAAGGGTGGTATGATAGAATGTGATATACATGGAATGATTTAATATGACAGAAGAATGAAATTGGTCATGTGGTCATGATCACATCACACCTTCTTCATAACCCTAAGTCGGCCAGATTCTCCAGCCATGGATGTTGCAGGACACTTTGGGTATGTCGTAGATATAAATCACTAGAATATAAGAATGATTACAACGATTGTGTTCTATAACGAAAAGAAATTAGCCACACAACAAACCATGACGTCAACCCTCCGGCGAACCCTATACAACTCGACATGTCGCCCTCGACTGAAGTTATTTCTCTGTCAATTCAGTAGGCCAAACCTTTACTATAGCTCCATACACCTCTTCCAATCGCCCCCCAAAACCATGCCGACTTACCCTGGATCGTGTTATTGCCGGGATATCGAGTACGAACTGTCCCTGTCCTCACCCGATGACGCACGGACTTCCCTCTGTCACTGTAAAAGCTGCAAAGTACGCAGACACTGCAATATGCCCTCTCTCTACACATGCCTCTTATGAATGCTACTAACACAGGAATAGAAAGCCTTCGGAACAAACTACGGTCTTACCGCGAAGATCCCCAAAGACGCTCTCCGACTCACGAAAGGCGCCCCCAAGGAACATGTGGCCGACAATGGGTCCGGATCGCTGATTCATCGCGAGTTTTGCTCCAACTGTGGCAGTTTCATCTGTGAATATGGGGTAGGGATATACGACACTATGCCGGCAGGGAAAAAGTGATGTTGACCCTCACAGGATGCTGTCAAAGATCAGTTCCGCTATTTATGCGTTGGATCCTTGGATGATCCCGAAGCGCTGCCACCAAAGGGCGAGTTCTTCTGCAGCTCTAAAGCCAACTGGATGCCAGAGATTCCCGGTAGGTCTTCCATGTCGTTCTCCACGATGCGTATAGTTGCTAATGAGCTCAGACGTGTTTCACAAACAGAAGATTAAGGAGTGAGTAGGATTCAGTCTAAACATAAGTCGTTATGTACACCTGTGGTGTTGTTTATGGTGTAAATAGGAAAGTCGATAGAAGCAAGTTAAAATGATACCTCAGTGATGCTACGGACCACCATATCAGGCTCGATCAGCTTGTCCCGAATTGTAAGCGCATTCAGGTAGTCATTCCTATCCACCCGAAGATACCCATCTTCTATTGTTTTTTCTATCCCAGCACTGACGTGACGCTTCGCTACACGTTCCCGTGCTTCTTGCAGGTCCGTCTCGACGAACACACGGTAGTCAACCAGTCGTGCGACGTCACGCCACTCAGGCTCATCCAGGAGGAGATAATTGCCTTCAATGATGAGGATCGAAGCGTCGCTGGATATCATGATGCTATCCTCTACTGGATCCTTGGTTTCATGGTGGAAAGCGGGTGCATATATCGTCTCGTTCGAATATGTATCTGCCCACTGCCGTAATTGGTGAACGAAGGTAATGAATCGGGCAGCATCAAAGGTCCACGGCGCTCCACGCCGGATATATGCCTCCTCTCGATTGGGGAGCTGGTCCAGTGTCGCCCGCGACAGATGGAAGCCATCCATGGAGACCAGCTCAGTCTGGATAGGGGTTTGCCCTGAGTTCAAACGCTGTGCAATGGCAGTTGCCGTTGTTGTTTTGCCAGAGCCGGGCACGCCAGCGATGGCGACGAGATATCGCTTCTTATTATGGGTTTTGGCTCGGTGGCGAATGATGTCCGCGATACGCGTATACTCTTCCTCCATCTGTGGGTAACATTAGATGGGCGATATACTTTCAAATAAAGTTATAAAAGAATGTACGTTGCGTCAGCGCGTAGCTGCGTGGCGACTCACTATGAATAGTCGATAGCCTCAGCGGTCGGATAGGCACGGTAACCCCAATGACTCAAGACAATTGAATTGTTTGTCAAGACGACAGCTAGAACTCTGTATGGCACGAGCTTATATAAAAATACCCCATCCTTGAAGCATGTCTGGGGGTGTGGAGAGGCCGGCTCACAGTGCTCCGACAGCAATGACTTCAATTTTACGGAGCTCTGTCCACCGTAACCCGAGGCTACTCGAGACCCTCCCTACAGCCTTACAAGGCTCAGGTAACAAAAGTCTCGTGTTAGGATCATATGTATGCGCTGGCGGCTAGCAGAGTTTCTTTATCTCTGAGCAGTCTTCAACGTAGACCGACCCCGGTACCGTCCGCGCCCATCAATTATTCATGAGTGCAAATAAATCTATTAGTGACAACCGTGGGAGGTCAAGGAGTATGTGAAGATTATATTTTTTTTGCAAGAATCTCTTGCTGGGGTATATCCACTCTCCCCTCTGTGGAGTGCATCACCAGAGGGGAATCATATCTTTTATCTAATCTGCGTGAAGAGAAGAGTGATGCCTATCTTATCAAGGCGGCTAAGGAAAATTGTGTATTAACGGAATGTCGAAGCTCCTCCCACGATCATCCGCTAGTGTCAATCTCCCGTGAGCGCAATACTGTTTCTTTATGTGTGGAGCGCGGCTTTTTCGAACGTCTAGTCGCCCTCAAGGGAGGTAGGGGCGCCACATAGAAGCATAATAGTTGCTCATCCAGGCAATGTGCGCATCGCGGTCGCTGAAGATCGCAGGCGACACCCCGCGATTCACACGCTTTACATGGAAATGTTGAACGTTCTGTGTCCACGCTTGCTTCTTCGCGCTGTTCAGCGTCCGGACTTGGCTCCGACGGCCAAGAAGAATTCCTGTCTTTTTGATAGCTCGGCGGCTCCGCAAGGGCGGAACGGGCTTCCGCGGGACTGATAAACCAGGATGACCATAGCCATTGCGAAAAGCGTCGAACGAAACAATGTTTACTGCAGTCACTGCTTCGGAGAAAGGTGCACGACGCGGGGCTATCCACCCTGTTTGCCATGATGGTTGGTTTCATCGGACTGATTTCGGTAGAGGGAAATGCGGAACAGGAACCGTCTACGTTGTCACCATTAGGCGGGAATGTAACCTCAACCACCGGAAAAGGGACTGTGCCCCTTGGAAGTTTACCCACCGGTCAGGAGATTTTTCTCTACTTCTCTCTCTCTCCCTCTTTCTTCAAGCAACAATGACCGGGTGCTCTCGACCGTGTATATATCGTGGTGTAGAAGTAGGTCACTGTATCACAGATAGATGCGCAGGAGTATATTTAACACTTGTCGGATACTATCTCCAATAGTATATATATATATATATGGAGAGGAGGAGGAAGTGCGACGGCGCGGTGAGATGAGGGGATAAAGACAAATGATTTCGAGGAAAGAACAAAAGAGAGGGAGACATTCCCGAAGAGGGGGGTTTAAGGGAATCAACGTATATCCATGAATGACCCTTGGCAAGAATGACAAGTCACGATGCAAGCCAAGGTCTGGACCTGTGATCATCCATCGTGTGGTTGCTGCCAGCGCATTGATCAAGCAATAGTCAAATCAATAGATTTGCATTCCAGGCGGGTAATGATCAACCTTACGTCAACCAGCTGACCTGGTACGGGTCTCGTATGGAGGTACCTGTACCGTACATCATTGGAGGGTAATTTATGTCTGTTTAGGCATGATTCTGTCCCGTCTGTCAGTCCACCTCAAAGATAGTCGGTAAGATACCTGTAGGGCTGTGGTATGAAAAGAACCAGTTGACCGGGTAAAAGTTCCGAGACCTGATATCCAATCGATCCCGACAGGGACTAGTCTGACTCCCATTGCCATTTCAGGTTTCTGCGGTGGAAACGAGAATCCACCTCGAAGCAATCTGATTTTATGGGCCGTTAGATTTTTTTTCTCACTTCTCCAACTGATGGGGCTGATGTTGACGGAGACTAAGTAGAATCAGGTGAACCCAAGGAGACTGTGACGTAATGATTTGGTTTGGCTTGCTAGCTTAATTAAAATGGGTAAGTATCTTTCTTTCTTTCTTCCATGTTTCTGGAGGATATTCTCACGTTCACGTGACGTTGTCTTTTTTTTGCCCCCCTTTTCTTGTCTTATTTATTTCTGTTATATTTTGATTTCCTGGTCTCGTTTAATAAACAGCCCGCTATCGGACATTCGTCCACTGGACCTTGTCGGACACGCATCCATGTCTGGTGCCCCTTGATTTGTGCATTATTCCCGCAATTTCACATTGCTGCAGGTCCAAGCGGCACGCCACATTGACAAGGCTTTGTTCTGACTACCAGTACCAAACAACACAAGTAATGATTGACTTGGCCAGAGGTCTATCACCTTTACCCCCACGTCGTTCTCAAGTAACATAAATTATTAAATCTATTCAATACTATTGGACAGCAATTGGCTGCCATCGACACTAACATTTGAAGCACGGACACTCCTTCCTTCCCCGGCGGATAAGCTTTCCCCGTAATTGAATCTCAGTACGGAATAGTACATCAATCAATTGAATTGCGCTTTTCGTTGAGTGCAAAAGTTTGTCATACGGCGTCCTGGCCGAGATTTCTTGAGGCATCACTGCAACTACTGAGTAACATTGACCGCTTCATGCGGATCAAACCGACTGTGTGAAGTATGCTCCAATTGTAATATGGCGACAGGACAGGGCAATGCTCCATAACGCGGCTGTACCCGATTGCAAGCTCCTGGGTACTACGACTACACAGTAGTACGTACGCAGGACGTACATAAAGTATGGAACCCTTACCCCAGCCCGGGCGTTCGAGACCGCGACGGGAATCCTCTCGGGACTCGGAACAGCCACATCTCGGATCATTGTAACAGTATTGTGACACACGAAATCAAAGTGAGGTAAGAAAAGGATGGTCCAAGTTTCCAACTCATTTTGACTTGTTATGTACCGTACTTGGTAAATTGGTATCAATGGGTGTCATTTACTAGTGTCACGGAATCCGGCAACTCCTTCAGAACTTCCCCGCATGCGCCATTCGGCTAGAATACACCGTACTAGTACAGAGTATACTATCAAACTTTCATCACTGGCAGATAAATGATACATCCTCCTTCTGGAACTTGCAACGTCACACAGACGCGAGTCATGTCATCACATCACATCACGTGGGCCGTTATTCCTCGACTGAGTCAATTTCGTACTGACGCCTGTCACATCGCAGCAACAATGATGGTTATCACTCCTCCGGGTGATGTACTTCATTCGAATCTTCTGTGGTGTTTCTGATCGCCTCAGGTGGCAGGGAATCGAAATGAACGCTTGCTAAATCAGTATGCACCGATTAAAAGCCTCGAGTATGGAACTGCTCACACCTTGAATCCTTCCACTGTTTGTGTCGGCTCTTTAGCCTGCTGATCGACCGCGTGCGACTCAAAAGTTTGTGGTTCATCGTGGTGGATCTCCTCGGCGTCTCGAGTGCCGGTAGACGCACGGCGACTTCTCAGCGCACTATTGGAGTCGACATCGTTAACTTTTGTCTAGTACCGCTCCCCAGGGTGTCACAAGCTTACGCTTGATAGCTACGCATAGCATGTATCCTTTCCTCGATGGAGGATGCGATTTCGTTGTCTTCGTGTGAGTAAATGTAGGACATGGTGACTTATTTGCTTGCATTATACATTGGAATATAAAATATCCGAGTCATCACAGTGGGAGTGCATGGCTTTATCATACCGTCTTCAGGTTACCCGGTGCAGCAGAGGGCCGGTCTCATGACCATGACAACGTTCCAGGCTGAGTTCAATTCTGTACTACCCTTGGATGACAGGAAATATCATTACCCTTGCAGGGGTCATTGGAGCGGGCCTGCATGGGAATTGCTTCATCGCTGGCTCATAGTGGTCTGACGCACGTATTTTGAGTATCGGGACGAGGTCAAACTGGAACTTTAACCATGGTTCATCACACATTAGAACTTGTCATAGGCTGACCTCATTCTTGTTGTTAAGCCTATTGCGCCAGGTGTACACCAATCACAGCATGTCGATGGGCAAAATGTCAGGCTCACGCTAGGCGCACCAAACATGCCCCAGATTGATGACTTCTGAGGCTTCAGGAATCATATAGCTTGAATTAAGAGGCCAGAATGTGGAACTATATTAATAATCAAGTCAGTGTGGCCGAGTGGTTAAGGCGATAGACTAGAAATCTATTGGGTTCGCCCGCACAGGTTCAAATCCTGTCGCTGACGAGATCTTTTTTGTCGACTTTCCCTTTCCCTCCAGGGAAAAACTTGACGCGTTTACCCTTGCATTGAGCACTGTTTTATTCTCTTTGGTGGGATTTTTGTAATGATAACACCCTTTGGCTGGAGTTTTGCCTTCGAATGGCAAGAGGTTGAAAAACTACCGGAAAGAAGCTCACCACCATCAACTTGACACTACAGGATACTGTATACGAGTGTTAAAGCAGCCCTCTCTGTACAACAATGCCATAATCCTGCAATCAAAGGCAAGCCATTTAGCTTCATGGCTGAAAACAATATCATAGCCTAAACCGATCTGAACCGACCTTCAACCCAACTATATAGCCTGTTCTATCTAGGATCCAAACCCGGCCACTACATATTTGCCATTTATGACAAAAGAGTATCATTTGCCCTACTCTTGTTGCCGTTCTAATCGTTTTCCTTGTTCCCTTGTCAGCTAGCTTTTGCAGCCCCCTGCCGCAGTCAATTCTACAGCATGTGAGATCAGAAGATGTAGTATACGTAACAGTGAGAAAGCGACATGATAGTAATGTCTGAAGTTTATAAGAGCTAAACCTAGTTGAGCTTAAGAAGAAGTAGCATAGAGCGCAAGTTCTTATCTCAAGGGTGAAGGTCTGCAAGGGACGGTGGAGGTTAACATTGTGTGGGAGATAGGGGATCGAGAATGGCAGAGGCAATAGACCCATTGACTCTATGTTATCGGCCCTACCGAAGATTTTGCTTAGAAAGACGATAATGGACATGAAAGACAAAAGGTTAGCTGGCCTCTCGTACACTACTCTTGATCTAGAGGGCGGTGTTCAGCGACCACGTCAACAGTCCTGTCGTCTCGATCTAAGTACTCTGTACTGTACACAAACAGGATGTAGGAAATAATGTAGCCAGTGATTCAACCACAATTACTCCGTACTCCGTAGTGAACTCCGCACTAGTAAACCGGAATCTAGGGACTCTGCCGGTTCTATCATCAAACGGCAAAAAAGAACGTCAGCGACAGGATTTGAACCTGTGCGGGCGAACCCAATAGATTTCTAGTCTATCGCCTTAACCACTCGGCCACACTGACTTGATTGATGACTTTGTTTTTCTTATTTTGTTATGAGTAAAAAGGCTAATTTGAGTATGTTTACGACCACTACTAAACCTATAGATCTTGAACATGTTCCTGACAAGTTTTACGTTTGCACTCGAGTAGGTCAAAAAAGAAAAAAAAGCGCTATCTCGTCATCCCTGAAGTTAAATACGTCAAGATGTTTTAGAGAGGCATGCTTTGTTTAGGTACACCACTCTGCATTAACACAAACTAACAAGGGTATCACTTCGACGTATCTGATTTAAGTTACATCTAGAATGCTACCCAGGCGGCAACTATTAGCATGGCCATACCTGCTACATGCGGGCTGGCGCTGAACATAGACGCCGAACTCTCAGAGCCATTCTCCTCCTCATCGGGGTTCTCTTCCGTCACAACTTTTAAGCATGTCATCTGCGAAGAGGTTCTATCCACCAGGCTATTATTGCCCTTACCAACGAATACTGTCAACACCGGGGTGATCTTCCAGGCCTCTCGGTACATTGAAGCTGCCGTGTTGTTTCCCTGCATCATAAGATTGTATATCAGTCTAGGCTTCCAAGAAATATATTGGACCCTGGGGATGACGGGGCAACTTGAAATTAATATATATATCACGTACCACAGCAGTATTCTCCGTGATCAGGGCCAAACCATCAGATTTGGGCTTAACAGGCCAACAATCGGTCGAATTCTTCACGGTCGAAAGATTCCCAAACGAGGTAACGGTAAAGTTTCCTAGTCCCTTACCCTTACCCCCGAGATTCCCACACCCCTCAAATGTATTCCTTTCCAGCTCGCGCTCCAACGCCGCGCACACGCCCTCATTCGAAGTGGCATTGGTAACACTGCGCGCCCGCTCCGTAAGCGTATCGATACACTTTTGCTCAATGACGTCCGGACAAGTACCGCGTGCCGCCTGTACATCCGTGACGTTTCTATCCTTGCCTGTTTTTATGGGGCCGTCGAATTGTTTCTCAGGAGGGTCGTTGAAGGTTACAACACAGCCGCTTAAGCCGTTGACGTCGAGTGCAGACGGTGTTCCGAGGTAATATGCTGAATTGAACTCCCGCTTGCCCTCGTCGCCTTCCGAGACATTGACACCCTTGATCAGGGACAGGCCTTCGAGTGTTGAGGGGACGCTGGGGATGCGAGATAGACCGATGCCTAGAAATGTCTTGTCGCCGACTGTGCAGCGATCATGGATGTTTTCCTTGGGACATGAGACTTCATCGCAGCCTACGAGACTTTCGGACAGCTTGGTATCTTCAGCAATCCCATAGGTAATGAGGAATGGAAGGAGAAGAACAAGGCTGGTATGTCTCATGCGGGCCATGGTGTTGTCGCGTAACTATGGGATTGGTTATATTAGAAGTCAAAAGGGAAGACTTGAAGGGAAGAAGTCTGGTACTGAGAGCATCTCGCATCTGTCAGTGTCGGCATATATATATATATATATATATATATATATACTATGTAAGCTACGGAGGCTTATATTCATCTATGAAATGACATCAGGCGCAATTGTTGGCAACAGCGGAGAGCCTTGGCGTAAGGATGGCGGAGCACCAAATCGGGTACAGCCGCAGGGTGAGATTTGTTTAAACAGGTATCGATCAGCAGCACTTAGGGCTAGGCCGACATCATACGAGGCATCTGATACCAGTTGGGTTACATCTTCGAGGCAAGTACTCCGAGCTGGCATTGACATGTAAGCAATGCTATGGAATTAATGCATCCTTAGTACCATCGTGAGGGCCTGACAAGTGCTCTGATTGTTCCTTCCGCCACTTCCTTGATTTCGCCCCCGATTATGGAGAGAATAAACGAGTAGGAATAACCTGATTGAGCACCTTCGCGAGTGGTGAACAATACAGTTCGCCTCGGCAAATACTCGGATCGTCTGATTTGCTAGATAGATCGGAGGCTTCGGCATATTGCTGGCTATTATTCATGGCTTCATCTGTGGTCCGCTTAGCCGAGACGACTGAATAAGCATCACCTCATACGAGTGCGGGTTATAGAGCTGTATAATTGGGACAGCGGCTTACCTTCACTGCCACAGAGCTTCAACGAGGCGTACTTTTAACGCAGTCTGTAGTCGATCCACAGGACAAAAACTTGATGCACGAAATTGTGATAATCTGAGACTAGCGGATCCTTTTGGGGCCGGGCAATATCGGCCAAGAATTCGAACGGCCAAATCACATATCTCAAGTTCCGCCGGTTGCATACTTCTGTGGGGTCCAAATCCCCTGAAGACTGGAAAATACAATCACTTGGAGTAGCACTACGTCGAAGGGGTTCAAGACCTAGGCCAATAGGTCTGTTATACTTGGTGAATTGCACCAAAATGAATGGGAAAAGGCAATACACAGATGTGACATTAGTACTGACGCGCAGAAGAAGAATCTTGGCAGTTTGAAGCGCGTACTGAGTGATAGAGCCAGGAATTACTGCTTCACGCTAGTTATATTAAAAGTCCCTTGATTTATAATGGCCGATATAGTCTGCGTAATTGGAGCAATAATCTCTTGAGTGATTAGAGACGCAAGCTCTCGAACGCGCAGTATTTCAAACGTCAGCCATGTCTTTCGTTGCTGCAAATCGCATTATATCAGGAATCTTGGCCATAGTATTTTCGTAGGCATGATTTTCTGATACTCGGAAAATTGAATGATTATGAATAATCCAATCCTATCAAAACTGAGTGTCTGAGCGAAGTCTAATAGCCTTGCTGGTTAGATACCACTCACTCTCTTTCAATTTGTAGGATGTTGTTGGAAGACACTCGCTATTTCTCATTTTTACTAGGGAGCAAATAGCAAGCTTATTACGATCGATATAACTCCCGATGGACAAGTAAGCAAGATTAGGTCTCCTTTGCGATCACATTCTAATGCATTATTAGTCACCTTATCTTCCATTGGCAGCTGTAACAATACCGAGTGTCCAATCCGATCTGCTTCTGTACACCTTGGGATCGACCTTCTTGTGTTCAGGATCAATAGTTGTGGCATCGATTACGTATATTACCGTGAGGATAGTTCATTTCATGAACATTGGACCGAATTGTGAAGTGAGAATCATTGAAAAATTCGAAGATTATGCACAAGATATATATAAGGAAACCTATCCAATTCTAATAATCTGAATGAACCTCAGCAGAGATGAGCAAGAAATACGGCCGATGCCTTTCATCCTTCCATTCGGGATGCTCCTCAACGTCATGCTCCGAAGGAACCCAATCCTTTAATCCAGTCAGGACGAAGCCGTTCTGAAGCAAAGCAGTAACATAAGTCTCCACGGTTCGATGGTACTTTCTGACCCCATCAACACCGAGCCAGCTCGTCACGCGCGGACCTTCATCACTGTAGGTGTTTAAAGGCCAAATCTTTCTACCCACTCCTTCGCCATCTTCATTTGGTAGAACCTTCCAGTCAGGTTCCGGATTAACTGGGGCTGTACAGATGGGATGTTCCACTGAAAAGATTAACCTTCCCCCTTTCCTAGAGCCATCTTCAGGAACACCTTTCTTCAAACAAAGTCGGATTTGCCGAAGCAATTTCGAGAAATCTTCGATATAATGGAACGTCAACGAACTGTAGACTAAATCATATGAGTCCGTCTCAGATGTGCTGAAGGATATCGTCTCGAGATCATCGACTTCATAACATAGTGTCCCATAAGAAGGCAGAATATTCCCTTTCTCTTGCAGGTCTTTCTCGGACTCTTTAGCCGTCTCGATCATCTTTGTCGATACATCGATGCCTTTGACATGTTTGGCACCGTTTTTTCGAGCCCAGCGGGTGAACCAACCGTAACCACAACCTAGATCCAGAACCTCTTCGTTCTCAATGCCATGATGGCGTGGTTTGTTGTTCTTCAAGACCATCTCTTGCAACACCGGCCATTCGGGGGCTGCGTCGAAGCCATGTTGTGATCGAGGAAGTGTGCTGTATGCCTTGAAGAATTTGGGGTCATCGTAGATGTTTTGAGTTGGGGTTGAGGACATCTTGTAGTCTCTCTAGGAACGATAGGATAGGCTAGAATAACATTTGGCCTCGACTATGACCGAGGGTTATATATACGGTCGAGGAAGAAAAGGACTATTCCGAATCAGGTTCCCGACACGCTTACCGAATAAGGCAGTTAAACTTTAACTAATTAACGTAATTAGTACCTATTAATAGTCTCAGCAAAATCTTGAAGTCTGAGATGACCTTCAGAATAAGATGACACAGAGTTGTATTAATAGAAATCACAATATTCGAAGCATTCAACGGGGATATTCTCCATTCTTCAAACGGTAAGACCGACCCTAGAGTATTACATACTATCATCTTGAGCGAAGCTTCCCTGCTCCGCAACCAGCTGCTCCCACTGGATCCATTCGTTCGGGTCCATCTCGAAAGACAGGAGGTTAGGGAGGTCATAGAAGTCGAGAGCTGCCGCATCGGCGTGATTACCTCCGTGATTCAGAGATTGGATTCTGTCCTGGTCCATTGTTTCCCGAGTGGCAGGTTCAGGTGCTACCGCTTGAATCTGGGCCCTGAATGGTGACTCTATTGCCGGCCGTCGAGAGTGACCGATTGCATTGATATAATCGGGTATCAATGGTTCTGGAAGGCCGTCTGCCTTCAAGGCCGCAACGTGGTCGTCCCAAACCTCTAACGTCCACTTGCCTAGTGCTATATATACAGGCCCGGGGGATTCGTCAAACACCTGAGGGTAATACGAGAATACTGTTCCGATCAACCTCCATGCCTTATCAACGTCATTCCCTGTTTTTCGGTGCCGAACTTCGATGAGCACGTAGAGTATCACATTCCAGAGAACGCTTGTGCCAAAATGCCATTTATATTTTTCTAGACCATGGGCCCCTTCTTGCATGAAAATGACATATTCCAATAATTTCATAGCGTTAGCAAAGAATATGTTGCGCTCGCTTTGGGGCACTTTCATGGGATCGTTGGCGAATTGTCGTGGGTTATGCGCAAAGAGCTTCATTTTGCATATTGATGACCTGATCATGATTGATACAATAGTATGAAGCGAGTTCGACGGGTCACAATATCGCAGATACTTCACTTCCAGTCGATCCTCAATGTGGCTGATTATGTTGTCCTTTTTCATGATTGTGACATCCGGACTGGAGAGTGCCTCCCAGCGCAATTCACTAGGGCATGATGTTGAGAATTTACGCAAACTTCCCATAATCTCGTATTTGACCAAGCAAGGAGTAGTAGTAGTAATGCCGCGGCGTCCCAGTGGTGGGTCGACCATGTCAGGGTGGAGGTCCTCGTCTTCGACATTCAGAGGCATTTGGTTATCGCTGCAGGAAATATCCAGCGACGGTTTTGTCCCCAGCACATCGGCTAGGCGGAAGTCCACATAAACTAAATGCCACCAAAGTCGCCTTCGCATTTCCGTTTCGAATGGAGACAGCCCTAGAGTTGAGCTATCCCGATGGAGCCCCATTTTGCGCGCCAGTCGTATAGCGACGCCTGATAAAACGTATAGGGTATCACATTTGTAGCTTTTTCTTATACACGTCTTCGTGTGTGAGCTAGAAATCATATAAAGGTTTGGTAGCTACAACTTACCATGAATAATGCATATGCAGCAAGGGTTGTTGGACTGGACGTTGATAGGAACCCTGCATTTATTAAAGCTTGCCGAGCCGCGAGTCTATATCGGGAGTACATAACTGATTTCCGTACTCCAAACAGATGTTGGGATTCATCTTCTTTTAGGGCAGAGATTGTCGCAAGGTAGAAAGCAAAAATCATTGCCTCCAAGTCTGTGGGCATGCTTTGAGGATCACTCAACCCGTCGGTTGCTGAGATCCAGAATGTAGGCACATGTAAGATTTTTATCATAGGGTCAACTCGATCAAGATAGACTTCCTTTAACTTTGATAACATCTGGCGCGAGAGGTGAAGGTTTGCCAGGTTGTCGGGCTTATCAAATTGTTCAGGTTCGAAGAACAGCTCATTGTCTTGAGTGTTTGACTCGTCAATTGGATCACCAACCTCCGGATGGTGAAGCTAATGCATGATCAGCGAAAGAAGTGGGAAAGGCCAAGTGAAATACTTACTCCGTTTCCTAGGTTAGACCAAGGAGCACTAACACACTTTAGAAGCCATTACTTCATAAACTAAAGTAGTATCAAACATACCTGTCAAAGTATCTAGATGTGCCCTTATCAATGATAAGTCTTGGTTTAGTCTCTCCAAGGTTGGGGCGTTGGCTTGGAGGGACAGCATCCTCATCCACCTGAACATCAGGCTGCGATGCTGTTTCCGACTCCGAGTCATCAAAATCTCCCGATGGCTCAAACTTTGCACCGTAGGATTTCAACAATTCCTCGTATCGTTTTAACTTGGCATGGAGACTTTCTCTTGGAGGCTTTGTTCTTTTTCGCTTCCCGCGCACAGGAGGAATAAAGCTGCATTGCCTCTCGGCCTTGACACAATTGGAGCAGGGAGTGCAACGGTCGCATTTGACCTTGCGCTGCCGACAAGTCAAGCATGAGTAGGTCTTGCGATTAATGCCTGGCCCAAGATTCTCGGATACTGCAGATCTCTTCATTGTTCAAGTCACGATTAATGCGTGGGAAATATCCAAAGGGTGTGTAGTGATAGAGAGGTTGACTTTCTCGGGGCTCGGAAGTTGAAAATGCAACTTTTGTGCTCCGAGAAGCGAATCGGTATCGGCATAGCGAAGCAGCATTCTCATGCTCTTTAAATACTCACCCACCTGAACCCCAATAATTTCTCTATCATGTTCAAACTGTTCCGTGTCTATCATGGCTCAATCTTCACTAAACGGCGAGAAGCAACCTCCGACTAGTCGGGAGGATGGCAAGTCCAACGTAGAAGACATTGTCTATCCCAGAGGTCTCAAGCTTGCCCTATTGTTGATGTCCATTTTTGTTGGCATGTTCCTAGTTTCTCTGGTGCGTTAGCATTACCAAGGTGGCAAGCTTCCTATGGTTATAAATTGACTATCTTAGGACCGCCTCATTATCTCTACCGCTATTCCCCAGATAACTAACGAATTTAACTCAGCGGGGGATATTGGCTGGTATGGCACAGCGTACTTGCTCACTAATTGTGCCTTCCAGCTAGTTTTTGGAAAACTATACACCCTCTTCAGAGTCAAACCCATATTTCTAACATCCATCCTTCTGTTCGAAGCGGGCTCGGCCCTCTGCGGTGCCGCACCAAACTCGGTCGCTTTCATACTTGGCAGGGCAATCTCCGGTCTAGGAGGGGGAGGTATTCTCTCCGGCGTCGTAAGTTCTGGATCATACGTCCATCTATCTCTCACTGGCTTGCTCACCCAGGGGCACCTAGATTGTCGTCATCGTCTACGCTGTTCCGCTGCATAACCGCCCGAAGTACCAGGGCCTCTTTGGTGCAGTATTTGCTATCACTTCGGTGACCGGCCCACTGGTTGGCGGTGCCTTCACCACAAACGTCACTTGGAGATGGTGCTTTTACATCAACCTCCCCTTGGGAGGCGTGGTTACGGTACTCGTGTCCATCTTGCTCCAAGTACCTGACCGTTCGCACATTAGGATGCCCCTGAAAGACAAGCTCTGGCAGCTCAATATGATGGGCCTGGTTGCTCTCCTTCCAGGGGTTGTTTGCCTGTGTTTGGCCTTGCAATTGGGTGGTACCACATATGCTGTGAGTTTGGACCCTTCTGTTCATGGTGCTTCCCTGCCTCGATCCAGTAGAGCTGACCGCATCTAGTGGAGTGAGGGGCGTGTTGTAGCATTGCTTATACTTGCCTTTGTGCTTTTGATTGCCTTTGCCCTGATCCAGATCTGGAAGCCAGAACAGGCCATACTACCACCGCGTATCTTCACCCAGCGCAGTATCGCTTCCGGCTTCTGGGTGAGCTCCTGCCTCGGTGCACATATGAATCTCTTCGGTACGTCCATACTTTGAACGGAGAACACAATGGCCTTCTAACACCAGAAATGACAGTGTATTACCTACCCTTATGGTTTCAGGCCATTAAAGGTGTCTCGGCCGTCGATAGCGGCATCCACCTGCTCCCCATGCTAATCCCCGTTGTTGTGGCATCCGTAATCACTGGCCAATTAGTCTCCCGCATTGGCTATTACACACCCTTCATGATCTTCGGTGCATGCCTCACAGCGATTGGCACTGGATTACTCACTACCCTCGGAATTAGTACCTCGGAGGGCAAGTGGATAGGATTCCAGATCATATACGGGTTCGGCATCGGCTTCTGCTCCCAGACACCCAACATGGCCGCACAGACGGTCCTACCGCACAAGGATGTTGCCATTGGCGCATCTCTCATGTTCTTTGGTCAGCAGCTCTTCGGCGCCGTTTTCGCCTCTGTTGGCCAGAATGTGCTCTTGAACCAGTTAGCGTACCGTCTCGCTGGCATCCCTAGCATCAGCCCTCAGCTAATACAGAGTACCGGCGCCACCGAGTTCTTTAATCGCGTCCCATTTGAGGACCATGCCGTAGCTCAGGAGGCATATAACGACTCCCTACGCAAGTGCTTTCAGGTTGGTCTCATTATGGCTTGTCTTTCTGTGTTGGGTGCTTGTAGCATGGAGTGGTGCAGTGTGAAAAAGAACCTTCCGCCTAAAGAAAGAGATGGTCAACAGGCTTCTGAGGAAGGCAAGTGTGAAGGGAGCTTAAGAGGGAATGAACCATCGCAGGTTACACGCTCAGCAACATTGACCACAGAGGAAACGGCAGAGAAAAATACCAAGGGAACAACTGGGAGTGAGGATGTGAAGGACAAGATCGCCGCTTAAGCGGAGATCCACTGGAATTAGAGGAACTTATGCCGCTTGGAGTTTCAATATTATCAGGGTCGAGTAACAGGCGGGCTATTTTTGGCTGGACGAGTTAATGGAAGATGGAAAATAATCATTCAAGCTTGTATGGTAGTTATAAGTAGTATAGAAAACCCCACTCAAATAAAGTATTATTGAAAACTTATAGTTCTAGCCGTGGAATCAGGAGCATGACATGGCAGAATGCCCCGATGAAGACAAATGGATATCAAAAAGCTAATGTCGCATCGCAATTCACAGGCTAATCAACTTCATCCTTCTCTTGCAAGAACTGGACAACAGCTACTCGAACATTAGTAGGTCTTACGCAGAAGAGCTGCAAGGTACCAACTTACCCTGTCTGAATTCCTCAGGCCGTTCCTGAACAATCCAGTGTCCACAATCTATATTCACAATGCGCGATAGAGGGAAGAAGGACGTAATAACGGGGAACGAGCTTTCTGGTATATAATGACTCTGCAGGGCTCGAAGGAACAACGCGGGTTTGGGGAACTGAACAGGTTTGTCCTTGTGTGGAAAATCCCCCAGTGGACCGATAGCAGTCGTCAGGATATCTAAAGGTACACGAAGCTTCAGATGCGGGGAATCCCGTTCTCGAACAAAATTACTCAGTAACCATAATCGCACGGATGGAGACTAGTTGCAATTGTTAGAAAAGAAGATCTCGTTTCGGGACAACAGGTTAGTGTAGCACATACCTCCTCATGTTTGCTCAAGATCTTGTCCCCTTCTTGATGGCTTTTGACTCGTGCGTCCTGTACTTCTTCCATAGCTCTGAGATATCTCGGGAACTCTTCCGTCAAGCCTAGGTGGATGGGACAGTTGTCGATAGCGACGACCTTGGATATCAGGTCCGGCGACTGAAGGGCAAGCGTTAAGGCGGTTTTGGCTCCCCTAAGGAAGAAATTTAATATGTGGTTGGAATGCATGAATGAGGCAACCGGCTGAAGTTGGTTCCTTACATCGAATGACCAATCAATGTGGCATTATTCAGTGCGTGGGTTGTGATGAAATGTTCAACGTCTATTGCCATTTCCATATAGTCATGCTTCAGGTGGTGACCGGAATCTCCATGGTTTCGAAGATCCTAAATATCCATCAATCATTTATATACCAGGCGTTAATCAGACGGTGAAACATACCAAACAGAAGACTTGTCGCGACAGATCCTGGGCAAGACTCCTGAAAAATAAGTTTGTGAGCGCTACACTGAAATAGTCGGCAGGTAACAGTCCACAATAGAGAGACATACTTGCCTACACCCCTGTTTTCGCGCTTGGACCCGAGAAACCCATGCAGGAATATTATTGGGTTCCGATTAGTTAAGTCTGATTGTGTACGGTTGGCATGTTTAGGAGCGTGCAATTCATATGCTAATGGGACCCTCGAAGCTCTCGTTCTTGCTGGCGTATGTATATACCTGATGTAGTTCCTGGCCTGTCTTGAAGTCATGGTCCATGGGGTATGCATGGATACTGGCACCGCACCTAGAGGAGAATGTACGGAGTATCAGACAGACCCACACACTAGTTAAAGTGAGTGATAGTTGTAATTGGCCGAGAAATTATATAGTAGATGACAATTCGCGGTGGTCAATATGTCAGACTCGGACCGGATACCTGGAGTCTTAGACTCGGGTACTTGACCCGGGAAGGTTGAGCCTTTGCCGACACAAGTTGATGGTTGACTCCACTCAGTGCCGATAGTGGAGAAGATCAGGGTTTGCTGAACCAGTGACCGCGTCAGGTATAGCGTAGGGCGTGGGTAAAGAAAGCAGACTCTTATTTTTTGCGCCCTACGCTATACCTTTTGCATTATTAATTCGATGGGTCTGACTATCACACTAAGAAAAAAAAGCTCTTTTTTTCTTTACTCCGTACGTCGTATTCTTTTACCCGCCCTCTCAGAACTTTTTCAGATTTATCTTTGTTCGAGTGTGTAGCCTGTAGTCCGTAGATCGTACTCGACTAGTATAAGCAACGCCAGCTCTGTCTACTGGGATATCAAATGAACATATTGAGTTCTGTATTTATAAGCAGTTGCGATGTTGTTCATGGTGTCATAATGGCTAAATACTATTAGTCCACCATGTCCTGTGACTCTTATTTCTCTAGCGGCCACAGCGAACTCGGAACGAAGGCCGAGTTCTCCACCCCGTTTTTCTCGGGCTCCTGAGAAATAAAATAGGGAGTAGAGCCTGGAACAACTCTGAAAGACGAAGTGCGTGACCAGGTTCAGATGCAAGATGGACGCACAACCGGATTCTGAGTTGCGCAAGACTTGCGATAGTCCAAATGTCTTTCCAAAGAACCCTTTGAGACCGTCAATCTCGCGGAAGAGTATGGTGCGTCCGTATGACTTTTCTCCGGTAAGTCATAGATTTTCTTCGAATCTAAGCCTAGTAATATCACAATTCAGGTTTAGGTCATTTCTAGAAGGAGAGAGTAAATTAACTTGTACCGTACCTCAAGGCTCGCAAACTTCACATCGTCGTTGCAGGGATATACTTCGTCTTCAACAGCTCCCTAGGTTCTTCCCTACCATCGGGTGCTCATGATGCTATTGCCGACTATTTCCATATCCCACAAGATGACTTGAAGATGGTGCTCCCAACTTCACTCTACATGGCCGGGTTTGCCATCGGCCCTCTCATCTTTGGCCCCTTGAGCGAACGCTTTGGCCGGAGACCCATCTTGGTTACAACGTTTGCAATATATAATCTCTTTACCATGGCATGTGCATTGGCCCCAACCTTTCCAGCTCTTCTGATCTTCCGCTTTCTTTGTGGTCTGGGAGGTTCAGCACCGAACGCAGTACTGGGCGGCCTATTCTCCGACATATACAACGATCCTCACCAGCGTGGAATGGTGATGTCGATATTTATGTTCGCAACGACATTTCCCCCTCTCTTGGGACCTATCATTTCTGGGTTTATCTCCACTGTATCTTGGAGATGGACATTCTGGGCAGGCTTTATCATCGGAGGTGTTGGTTTTCCTCTCGTCCTTGTAATGCCTGAGACGTATATGCCAGTTTTATCTCGGAAACACGAAAAGGCTTTGGGTCAAAGCCAAATCGACTCGGAAGCAGCCAAACCTCACCTGCACGAACCCAAACTGTCGGATAGCATTGGCGTCGTCCTCAGTCGTCCCTTCACCATGATCGTTCGGGAGCCGATTGTGTTCTGTTGTTCGATGTACTTGGCTTTGATCTACTCCATATTGTATTTGTTCTTCCAAGCATACCCCATCGTTTTCCAAGGTACGCACATCTTCATGGTCGAACCTTTCAGAAATTGTCGCTAATAGCAGTCTGTCTCCAGGGTTATACGGGATGACACCAGGCGTGGCAGGTTTGGCCTTTCTTCCAAGTACGTTACATCCACCATCCACACTCCAGAAGATGCAAACCCTAACAGTATCTACAGTTCTGCCGGGGTCAATCCTTGCCTTTGTGCTTTTCTGCCTGTACAGCTCGTATCACACCAAAGCCTTGAAAAACGGCTTAGCATGGGCGAAAGTGGAAGAGTATCGCCGTCTACCACTCGCCTGCGTCGCAGCGCCCGCAATTCCCATTGCGCTCTTCTGGCTCGGATGGTCGTCAAGATCTTCTATTCACCCTGTCATGCCCATGATGTCTGGGGTTTTTTTCGGATTCGGCTATCTTTTGATCTTCATCGCGCTTCTTAATTACCTTACCGATGCTTACAAGCAATATTCGGCATCGGCAGCGGCAGCGGCAAGTACATTACGGTCCATCTTTGCCGTGTGTCTTCCCCTGGCCACTACGCCCATGTATACCAAATTAGGTATTAATTGGGCTAGCTCGTTATTGGGATTCTTTGCCATAGCGATGGCTGTCATTCCTTTTGTGTTCATCAAGTATGGAAGTTGGATCCGTGAAAATAGCAAATTCGCCCAAAGAGCGGCGCAGCGATATACTACCTCATGAAGGGATGAAAGGGTTCACGAGTAATGAATATTTGGGCATTTAGCGCTTAGACATAGACTAAAAGTTTGCTTTCTTGAATCATAGTTCGGAAATGAAATTAATTACATAATTTAATCAATCCAACCCACTTTTCTTCTCTTTTTATTACAAACGCGCTAGGACCAGGAACCCAAGACATCCCGCAGCTCCTATCAAGTAGCCCAGTAAGGCCTTTGAAATAGGACCCACGAAGGCATGGACCATCATCCCCTCCCCCACAGACCGGAATCCCCAAGCTGGTCAACCGTGGGAACGTTGGGTCCTCTAGATACAAGCACCCGTCGTATGTCTAGCGCCATGTCTTTAAATTCTTGAGTTAACAAGGGTTTGCTAGTGGTTGACCCGTTTGATTTATTGGGACCTCCCGCCAACACTTATCCGTTTGACACTGTTGATGTTTCCGTTGCCTCTCCAGAGGATGTGCACACAGAACCTGATCCTCATCCTATCTTTGCAAATGGAGAGTTATTGTTTCCTCATGGGGATATCATGAATTACCCATTCTCTAGCGCTCTTGACCCCGTTGCGTCTTATCCTTCCGATGTGACCTCCGCTAGTCAATCTGTACTACTAAATGGCGAAACTAGCTTGTTTACAGAAGACTACATCCACAGCAACGAGAAACGGGAGGGAGCTACTGCAGACCGGACAGGCACCATTCAACACTGATTTTCTGGAGGGGCAACGAAGTCTCCCTGCCGCAGGAGCAAATACATGATCAACAAACATAAAACACGGGCTGTGCCAATGTTCATCCCGGACAAGTACCAGCTCCTCAGACCCCCTCAGGCGCTGGCAAAAATCGCACCCAGAAGACGAACCTGCTCCATTTTCTGCCATCAGGGATGCGGCTCAGCATTTGTGGTCCAAGTCGCTAGAAAGCCAAGGCTTCGCGGCAGTTGAACATTAGCAAGGCATATCCAATCCCGGATTTGTCAACGCTTTCCAAACATACCGTCAATCAGGATCCCGAGCCGCTTCGACGACCAGTGCTGAGAGTGGTGTGACTGCTTCCTCTCGACAGTCAGCTCTGGCAGATCAAGCGGCAGCAACGAATCCTCCCCGGAATAAGACCAATGATCGTGTTAGAAAGACGAAGCCTCGTGAGAAGAAAGACAAATCAGCCACAAAAGATAGTCCTCGATTATTCTGCTGCAGATTTTGTTGCGATCGATTCAAGAGCAAATATGACTGGATGCGACACGAGAAGTCGCTTCCCTTAAACCTCGTAACCTGGGTATGCATGCCATTTGGTGGAGCAGTGGTGTTGCCATCAACAGGCCGAGTACACTGTGTCTATTGTAGCATGTTGGATCCCACGGCTGAGCATCTCACACAACACAATCATGGGGCTTGTGACGGCCAACAACGCAAGTTTCGACGCAAGGACCACGTGGTTCAACATCTACGCCTTGTTCATCGCATCGATACGCTCCCGATCATCAGTGAATGGAAAGTAGAAGCCACCAACTTCACTTCTCGCTGTGGTTTCTGTGCTCGCCAGATGACGACGTGGTCTCAAAGATGCGACCATTTAGCATTGAATTTTCGCAATGGCTCGACAATGGCTGACTGGCAAGGTGATCATGGATTCCCCGAATCGATTGCAGCCCAAATTACCCATGCCGTGCCTCCCTATTTGATTGACCTCGAGTCACGAACCATGGTGCCCTTCTCCGCTACTAATAGTCATGCTAAGGATCATTTCTCTCAGATGTTGTCACGGGCTGCCTTTCAGAGTGACACCAATGTTGGCGGTGGTGTTCACCAGGAGAGGTCGGAGTTACCTGATTTATTAGGTCACCTCCAGGTGTAGGACTCTGGTTTTAATTCGTATACGCAAGCTCTGACGCGGCACTTGAGCCACTATACAGAAAAACAGACACGCCTCAGTATTGTTCCTACTGATGAAATATTCTAACAGGAAGCACGGCGTCATATGTTTGATTCTGAAGATCCCTAGAATCAGACCATTGTAGACCACCTCCAATAGCTGGCTGCTTTTCGAGAAGAACAGGGCTCCTCCACGGCCTGACCAGTTCGTGTTCGCATCCTACTCAATTGAATCGTTCCTGATGCAGCAGACGCTAAACTGTATATTTGCAACTATTCGGCCTCTTCCAAACAGGATATACATTAGCCACACTCCCACCCTAATTTCGTATTTATCTAGCCAGACCCTAACATGTCTCACTCAATCGTACATTTTCTTAAATTACCCTCAACTTAAAACCGACCAGGTACCATAATCAGCAACTATTGAGGTATGCCATGCAAATACGCATCTTGGCAATCCCCGATGAGTCATTCTCACGACCTCTTCACCGAAATGCTCTAGACTTCCAACAGAAGACGAAGAAAGGCTTGGAAAACCCCTACTTGGGCGTTTATCGCGGGATATTTATTGGAGGATAACTTAATGACTCTTGCAAGCCCACTTACTCCACATTTCGGACTGGTCTCTCAGCTCCCCGGATGGAAGAAGTGGGTCAAAGTCACTCAGACTCAGAGGGCGTGAAAACACGCCCTACACCAAATGTGGGCCCGCATACTACTTATCTACACAACTCGTATATGCCTTAGTTCTATGTGACCTCGTAACTGGGATATCCTGAGTGGTAGTCAAATCCTTGTTGTCTTGGCGTCGGATAACGAGCTATAAATATGTGATCCTGCAGTACCGGGGGAGTGTCCATTCTTCTCAAGTGTACAGCTCCCAAGCATCCCTCATAACTACAACTACTACACATCATGGCTCCCTCCGCCATTGAGTCACGGAATACCAAACCTGAAGCCCCTGCCTTCCCCGAGAAACAAACCGTGCAGCCCCTCGACGCCTCCAAACTGACCTATACCTATACTACCAATCCTCGCGATGTTCCCGACGAAGCAACAGCCAATTCCGGCGACGAGACCATCTGCACCGACCACATGGTCGTCGCAACCTGGAAGGCCTCTACAGGCTGGTCAGACCCAGAACTAAAGCCCTACGGTCCATTGAATCTCATGCCCACAGCCTCCTGCTTACACTATGCCACCGAATGCTTCGAGGGACTCAAGGTATACCGCGGCTACGACGGTAAGCTCCGGGTCTTCCGCCCAGATCGCAACGCCGCCCGTCTGAATATGTCCGCGAGTCGTATCGCCCTGCCACAAGCCGATCCCGACGAGATAACAAAGCTCATCTACGCCCTCCTCGAGGTCGATGGCGCGAAATGGCTCCCTAAGGAGAGAGCCGGAAGCTTCCTGTACTTGAGGCCGACACTCATCGGCACCCAGCCGACTATTGGTCTTGTGAAGCCTAAACAGGCGGTCTTGTACATTATCTTGAGCTATATGCCTCGACAAGATACTCCGCCTGGTGGAATGAGGCTTCTAACTTCCCCAGAAGATATGGTACGTTCTTGGGTTGGTGGATTCGGCTACGCCAAGGTCGGTGCGAATTATGGACCGTCAGTACTTGCCACGCAAGATGCCATGCAACGCGGCTTTCACCAAATCCTCTGGCTATACGGTGATCAGGGTGAGTGTACAGAGGCGGGTGGTAGTAATTTCTTTGTGGTCTGGCGCCGTAAGGATGGCAAGAAGGAGATTATCACGGCGCCGTTAGATGACCGTCTCATTCTGGATGGTGTGACCCGACGCAGCTGCTTGGAGCTGGCAAAGGAAAGGCTCAGTGATGAGTTTGAAGTCACCGAGCGCAAGTACACTATCGGTGAGCTAATCGAGGCCGAGGCCGAAGGCCGACTGCTGGAATCTTTTGCTGCGGGCACAGCGGTAAGTTGTTTTCTCACTAGTTAGGTGTGATTAAAAATTGTTCTGGCGCTCACATTGATCTAGTGGTTTGTTACCTCTGTATCGGCGATTCGGCACCGCGAGCATGATATCGCTATCCCTACGGGACCTGATGGTGGCCCTGGGCAGGTCACTGATAAGATCAAGGGCTGGCTGAGCGACATTATGTATGGGCGTACCGAGCATGAGTGGGGTATTGTGGTCTCAGAGAGGGAATAAACGATGGGATGATGTTCTTTTTACCATAATACGAGCTCTAGATGAGTCACGCTTAACCTACGATACACATTTTCCTTTTGTTTCCAAAACCTTTTGAGACGTATGTTGAAGAAGACAGTATATCGGGGGCGGTAGAAATGCTGTATAGTCCTATGTATACCCTTATATGAAGAACGCTCAAACAATCCTGGTTGAAGCGGAGAGTTGGAATGAAGCCCTAACCATACAGCGGGGACTATCATCACCTTCTATACTAGATACATAAGATAATTCTTCAACCTCTCCTCATATGGACAGTATATTTACATTCCCGGTGTAGTTGGTACTTTTTGACCTATGCTCAGGTTAGAAAGTCTATCGCCGAATATTTATCAAGCTGAGTACGCTGCAATTAGATAGTTATATTGCTCTATCTCCGCCCAAATTAAGTGTCCTTGCCCTCGTGCTCGTTGTCTTCCGAATCCTCTTTATTGTAAAAGCTTTCGAGAGGGGGCTTGACAACCTTATATTTGCCCTTAACGATCTTGAGATTTTCCCTGGATACGCTCTAGATATATGTCGAAGTCCAGTTCAGCTCCGTGCTCGTCTTCTCTCCTGCCGTACTGCTGAATTATTCTATACCTCTCTTGGATTTTATAAGCCCAAGGGATCCGGCTGAGCCCTTCAAGAGTTGGCCAAACATTACTAACTGCTTAAGTTCCTTGTTTTTGCTGTCCGAGCGAGAGGACAGCAGGTTGGGGGAAAGTTGAAACAGTCACGGTTCAGGTTGTTTAGCACTCAAGTTAGATTGCTAGAGAGTTTACGGAGTAAAGCATAAATATAGCTTACTCAGCTTGATACAGCCAATTATTCCCGCCACTCTGCATAGCTTTGTAGATCTATCTATAGTTAATGATACGAGAAAATTCCTTCACTAGATTCTTTATATTTATATAAATCTACAGGGCTGGCCGGACCCAATGCGGCTAGCGGCATATGGCTGCCTCAGGCGACGGGGCATGCATTTAATGCTTGGCTGCCGGAGAACATGTGAAAGACGAACTCACCATCCGATAAAGGACCGCGAGGCTCTGGAATTCCTCGACCCGAGCTGACTCTGGCCAGCGCCGCTTGCTGTCAGTCCCTTTCAACCGCACCCTGCAGTTGTTGCATCAGTCTAGGGGATGGCCACATGAAAAGTACTGTGATCGCACGACAACATCGCCGTTGAAACATGGAAAAATTCACCCAGTTCCGAGATCGAGGTGTGTGTGTGCATCTCGTGAAATCGCTGGCCCCCTGTAATCGGTCAGGCTAACTAGGAGTGGGACCGTCTAGGGTCGGGAATTGCGCCTTTCCTTCCTATTCCACCGCAACCCGCCGGCTTTCAGCTACCGTTACGCGTCTTCCTCTTCTTTTTCCGGCTTCCGCTGTTTATCTTCGTCTGTGTCAGCTACTTCCTCGTGCTACAATGGCTTCCGATTGGATCGCTAGGGAAGAAGGCATCTTTGTGGTGTATTCTCGGGGTGCCCAGCATATGGTGGATTGATCTTCAAGTGGACGGTGTGAGGAAAGGGTGAGTCGAGTGGAGGCTACGTCACCGAACCTACAGGGCTAAGAACCGGTCCCAGATCCCTCTCGAAGCAACACCAAGCGCGTCTTCCCGGCCCGGGCTCCGTCATTGCCTCCTCGTTTACATCTCCCATCGACGCAGTCTACCTGGCCGCCATATTTGACCCTGTCTTCACCGCGTCCTACCCGAACTCGCGGAAGGTCGAACAGATCTCCCTCTTCCAGGCGATCCTGCGTGCATTCGCCGCCCCGCAAGCCAGCCCACCCCCGAAGGCACGCTTGGTGGATCTTGCGACCTTGGTCAAGAAATACCCCGGGCGACCCGTTGTTACGTTCCCCGAATGCACGACCACCAACGCGCGGGGCATTCTGCCTCCCAGTCCTTCGCTGCTGAGCGTGGCCCCGCAGACTAAGATCTATCCTGTTAGCCTGCGGTATACCCCGGCTGACGTAGTGACGCCCCTTCCCGGGAGTTATGTGAGTTTCTTGTGGACGCTGCTCAGCAAACCCACGCACTGTATCCGGGTGCGCATTGCCGAGGGGGTGGTGAGTGGCAGTGATGGAGAGGGCGGTTCCACTACGCGGAAGTCTACGTATGACACCAACTATTTGGATACACTGGACAAGGATAGTGCGTATGGGTCCCTGGACACGGAGGATGCGGAGTTGACGCGGGCTGAGAGGGCCCTGTTGGACAATGTGGCCGATTCTCTGGCGCGTTTGGGGAGAGTCAAACGGGTTGGCTTGGGCGTTCCGGAGAAGAAGGATTTTGTCCGAATGTGGACGAAGACCCGACGAACATGGTGATGAAATTGTATATTCTGAGGTAGCAACCTAGGGGGGAATATATCCCCGGTAGGTTGAGTCTATACTAGCTTTCGAACCAGCAAACAATGACTAGAACAAGGGAAAGAGAAAGAAAACAGAAAACAGAGAACAGACCAGCAGGTGAGACAGCACCCTTGCCGGTGCGCCAACGAAGAAGCATAGAGAGAGAGTGTGTGTGTGTGGACGCGAGAAGTTATTCTCGACCGACCGGATCTCCCCGACGACCCCTGCATGATAGCGCCAATAAAAGCTTGTAGACGATGCTCTCGACTATCGTATACTCAACGATGTGAAACAACTCATGCAAGGCTAGGACTAGGGGTTCCGCCATCACCTGACACTCTCCACGCTGGTCACTAGTAGTAGTAATAGGACTCCATCGTCGCTATTCTATTATAAAAGGACCTAAGGCAGCCCTAGTCTGCCCTTAAACAATGAACTTTGGCCCCCACTCTCCAAGAGAAACGAGGCTGAGCTGCAGATCCAACAAACCCCCCCCCCCCCCCGCTAAATAAAACCCGCTACAAAATGACATTCTAATAAGCAAGCTCCGCCCCCGTAAGGCTTAATTTCTACGTCCCGATTCACACTCTCCCCATGGATTGATCTGCCACCACATTATACAAATATCATGAAGAGGAAGACATAGCAAGCAGCCAAGATGGGGCTCAGACGTCGCAAAGAGAAACTACCACCAGCTCAAGGAGCATCTTCCGTAGGGCATACACGCTCCACCTCGTTATACACCATCCCCACGGGAGCATCGACCGTACATTCTCTGTCCACGCCATCAACAATCTATACTCACGACAACAACACAACCACGTCGCTCAGTCTGTCCGGTACGACTCTGGTTACCGAGGGGTCGTCCATAGAGCCGTCTAGCCAATATGGAATTCCAGATCCAATCTCGCGGAAACAAAAAGCCAGACGCTCCCTCGCAAAATATGGGTCCTATGCGGATCTCTCTAATGCAATCTCTCAGACCAAGGCCAAGGCCAACGATTCCAAATTAAAGGCGCGGAGCTCTGTGATAAATCTTGAGCAACAGATGCGCGACTATGTGACAAATGTAACACACTCGAGTGTGGATCTTTATGGGACCATGCTGAGGAAGTTGGATCATATGATTACCTCTATGGATGAGGGGTTGTTTAGAGATAAGGAGGATATGGGTATGTTTACCCTTCGTCATCTTGAGAGTTCCTGGGGTGTCAGGTCTGCTTTTCATTCCCACTGCATGCTAAAATGGATACCTAGTCACGGCATACGGCGATGAGGTCTCCTATACGAAGACAGGGACACAGAGAGAAGTGAAAGCGACATCAGCCGGTCCCAGTTTCTTCTCAAAGACCTATCTGTACCACAACTCCCGGCTCCCAGCTCACCTTCCCCCAGTGCAAATGTATATATCACCCAGCCACTCTATTTAGCAATACATGTGGAACCATGCTGACAATATAGACTACCGCAATCATACGCCCTCATCCGCCTAGCAGCCCAGTACTCCAGCTCAGCCTACAAGAAGCCCGTAGAACTTACCACGACCAATAACCCCTACGTGAGTGCCAACATTCGCCAGGGAACGAAGGCCATGGTAATCAAGCCACTCGCGTCAGATGATCTAAAGAGTATCGTCCTCGCAATCCGAGGAACCCAAAGCTTTCGCGACTGGGCTGTAAACATGAAAACGCTCCCAACAGCCCCGGAGAATTTCCTCGACGACCCCGACAACCTCTGCCATGCGGGATTCCTCACCGTGGCACAGAGAATGGTCCCTTCCGTCGCGGCTTATCTCCGCGATCTACTAACCGAAGACCCCAATCGCGCGTCCTATTCGCTCACCCTGACGGGCCATTCTGCTGGCGGAGCAGTGGCCAGTCTGCTATACTGCCATCTGCTCTCAACGAGTGTGTCGTCTGAACTGAAGCACCTGGCTAGTTTCTTCGGAAGCATCCATTGCGTGACATTCGGTGCACCGCCAGTCTCCATTCGACCTCTGTTTCCAACAAAGTCACCGGCGTCGCTGGAATCGATGTTCTATGCATTCATTAACGAAGGCGACCCCGTGCCCCGGGCCGAGAAACCCTATATCACCTCGTTGCTAAACCTTTACATGTCACCGGCGCCGTTCTCTCTCGGCACAAGTCGAACATATCCCTTCGTCAGCAGGCAAAATAAACCCGCTATCTGGCGTGTGCCACCGGCCACACTCCATCTTGCTGGGAACGTAGTCCTCCTGCGACACCAATCCCAAGATCCCCTCCTCAACTCCCCGCATGACCCAAACACCGTCCAGAAAGATGAAATCGAGGCCTGCCAAATCCCCAACGAAATCATGCACGATGTCATCTTCGGAGACCCCATAAAGCACTGGATGGGTCTGTATCAAGAAAGGATAGAGCATCTCACCCGCAGGTCGCAACTGCCACCACCCTATCAGCCTTAAATGCAACACAATCCCATTCTAAGCCAACACTCTTTCAAATATAAAACGTAGAAACTCGTAAACTAACAAACTATAATTCTAAATTTAGATATAAATATAAATCCACTCTGTACATCATCAAATGACCCTCCAGAACAGACTCGAATCTACCCCACATTTTGTAACAAGGCTGAATCCATGTATCATTCATTCTTCCTCGACTACTTGTAGGATGCATTGGCCAGGTCTAATTTCTAACCCGATTATATTCTAAGACTGACGCCTGTAGTCGTCCATCCGGTTGGTGAAAACTATACTCCTTGACCAACAATTCAAGTATACATAACGTAGTTCCCACCTCGAAGTCCCATTCAGCCGGACGTCTCACTATTTTCGCCGGCATCCGCAGTACTAGACTAAAACCTGCAAGACGTCGGTAGACACTTATTTTTGTGTCAACAATACGCCTCACTTAGAATGGATCCTGGCAATACCTCCTTTCCATAAGAAAATGCTCTCATAGTAGAATATGACCTGCTCCACAAGGTATTGAGACTAGGTATATAGTATATCAAACTGCAACTTCTATCTTTACAAGAGATATTGTATTGATATAAAGCACTTTGTCAATGTTGGTCTGCATACTAGAATTTCAAAAATATCGCCTATGTATGTTACACATTGCTCCAAGAGTGGTCTTCCTACTATTTAGATAACATCATTTCGTTCCCATCCAACCGGCTTTATAAATTTCCAGTCCCTTTGTAGGGTATGAAGTTGGTGACCGGATGCACTTTACGGCATACGGGTTTGGATCCTCTTCCTGGATCAGGTTGTTGTTGCCATCATGCACAACTGGTCTGGTTGACCCCCGCTCTCTTATGGAACCAGTTCGCAGCTTTTTCGGAGAGCGGTTCGACGAGGTCTGGCATACGTTACGCAAAGGCAAGTGAGGCCAAACTGCAACAGCTGATGGTATCTCCTAACTTTGCGAATCATATAGGCGTGCAATCCATGTAGGAGAAAAAAGATAAAGTGTGATGGCCAGAGGGTGTGCATACTATCCTGCAGCGGCATTGTTCGCAAAGCTTCTTACCGACCCTAATCATGAGCAGAATAAATCAGACCTTCAGAGAATTCATCAGGTCACGGATTTTATATCTGCACTAGTATCCGAAGAAGAGGGCACATATTTAGATTATGTCCTAGGGATGTGTAAGAAGTTTGAACTGACGGCACAAAAACTTCTGCAGCCCGAACAACAAGAAGGTGGGAATCCTCTGAAAGAGAAGGCTGGTGTTGCTGCATCTGCCTCTCATTCCATTCAGCAGCGTCTCGGATGATACATCTCTCCCCCCTAGTTGCCCTTCTGTCTATGGAGAACCCACGCACTTCAGCACTTTTCCCTGCTGGGAGGATTTCGGAGAGCAGAATCCGCTCTTTCACTCCAGTGATATCCCGCTTCCTCCAGACTGGGAAAGTGAATACCACTATGGGCTGGAATCTGCAGGATATGACCAGCGGGGCCCCTCCCTTTTTTTGGTTTCTATTATACTTTTAATGAAATCGAAAAACGAACCATATTCTCCACTGACGAGATCACCCGATTTGCCCTCCCCAGTTGTAGGGCAAATATGTCAATGTTGAACCGCGGCAAACCCTCAAAGGTTGACGTCACGCACGAACCTTGGACCGCGGATTAATTAATGGCTTTTATATACCCCCAACCCAAGTACAAAATCATTAGAGCATATTCAATAAACTGACCCGTAACAGAAACACACTCTCTCTGTTTTCTACCTTTAACCCTCCTCAGGATGGCGTGGCAACCACCTACTATCGGTAATCGCTATGTAGCAGTGCTTGGTGCCGGCACGCTCGGTAGGATTGAGCCTTCACACCTGTGGAAAGATTGTATTCGGCGCTAATATACCTGTCAAGGCCGTCGAATTGCTTGTACTTGGGTTGCAGCAGGCTACAATGTAACCATCAGAGATCCGAGTCCAGATCAGCGGCATGCTGCTGTTCATTTTATTGACAACAACCTTGCCACTTTTGCTAAGACCCTTGGTGACAAGCAAGTCCCGGGACAATATGCTGCATTTGCAGATTTGGACCGTGCTGTGGAGGATGCCTGGTTTGTGATCGAAGCTATTCCAGAGAAGCTTGATCTAAAAATCGCCACGTTTGGTGACCTTGCGGAGAAAGCACCAAGGGATTGCATTTTCGGATCTAACTCATCATCCTACAAGTCACGGCTGATGCTTGACAAAATGGATGATGAGGCTAAACGGCGCACCCTGAATGTCCATTATACCATGCCCCCGGGAAATAGGGTCGTAGAGCTGATGACTAGCACCCATACTTACGATGACATTTTCCCTTTCCTTGTTTATAAGCACCGGGAAATTGGGCTGGTGCCAGCCGTCGCACGCAAGGAATCTACTGGGTAAGCTTGTCATTCTCTATGCCGTCTCAGGTGCCTGGAATAACTGCTAACCTGCAGATAGTTTCATCATCAACCGTCTATGGGCAGCTGTGAAGAGAGAGACTCTAACGATCTTGGCAGAAGGAGTTAGTGATCCAGAACAGATCGATAATCTATGGGTAAGCCCTCTCAACGTCCGTCTAGTGATGCTAGACTCTAACTGGTGGGCTAAATAGATGGAAATGTTTGGCGGCACGGCAGGGCCCTGTAGCATGATGGATGCAGTTGGCCTCGACACAGTAGCCTTTATTGAGGATAACTATATTCAGGAACGCCACCTGGACAGCGCAAATACGGTAGACTGGCTGCGCAAGAATTTCGTCAACCAAGGACGATTAGGCGCAAAATCTGGAAATGGAGGGCTTTATCCGGCTGGTTTCACGACGAAATCGGCTGCTGATAATGCCAGTCATCACGACAACTTGGCCGCACCAACGCTCTATGTCCTTGATATAGGGTTGGGTGAAAATGTCACCGACAGTTTCCTTACAGCTGGCAAAATCTACACTGCTTCGGCCAATGGTCAGAATGTGAAAAAGATAGTCGATGGCCTTGCAGGGCCTGATGGAGTCGATATTAGTGTCAGTCATGGTCGGATCTTCTGGACAAATATGGGGATACCCTCTGAAAACGATGGGTCTATCCAATCATGCAACCTAGATGGTTCTGATATCAAGACAGTCGTTCCACCTGGAGCAGTACACACACCAAAACAACTGTGCATTGACCATACACACCAGAAATTGTACTTTTCGGATCGCGAAGGAATGAGGGTTCATAGAGTCGATTTTAATGGTAGCCAGCATGAGATCCTCATCCAGACTGGTGATTATCACCATCTCTCCCATAAAGATGACCAGAGCAGATGGGTAAGACACATCTAGTGTGTATAGCGAGGCCATGGCTAACAGAACTTTTACAATTTCAGTGTGTGGGAATTGCCGTTGACCTAAAACACGGCAAGTTCTACTGGACTCAGAAGGGTTCTAGCAAGTCGGGTCAAGGAAAGATCCTCCGGGCAGACATCACCTTGCCGGCAGGTTCAAAGGCCTCCACGCGCTCAGATATTGAAACTCTCTTTGAAAACCTACCCGAGCCGATCGACTTGGAGGTTGACTCGGAGAATGAACTCCTATATTGGACTGACAGAGGCGAGTACCCTCTTGGCAATTCAATTAATCGTGGCTATGTTGGACCCAAGACTGGGGATTCTAATGCAGCCAAATTCACGATATTAACGAGGCACTTGCATGAGGTATATTTTCCCACTCGGCGGTCCGAAACGTCGCTAATATCCTTTACTCACAGGCGATCGGTCTACGCTTAGACAAGGTAAACAAACACATTTACTTCACCGATCTAGGAGGGTCATTGTACCGCACAGATCTCCAGGGTGGAAACAAGACGGTTATATATAGCGGTAAAGCTGCTCTTTCAGGACTCGCTTTGGCATACATCAATTAAATTACTATCTGTGGGAGTGGTATATGTACGATCGGATTCCTTAATGTTCTTAATTACTTAGGAAACTTAATCCACTATTGCTTTGTTGCCGTCAATAGATTAAATGATGTTATATATTGAAGCGAACTATCCCATATATTTCTCTCCATAACCACACCATATATATTCTTTATAAATCAGTAGTTTAGACCTGAAATATGGAAACCTTCAGGAGTAACGTAAGAAGCTGTATATTCGTTTTAAGGGCGTTTGGAGTTCTTTTTTTTATTCTCGAGCTGTAGACTGGCTATATATTAAGATTGCGGCCTGTACAAAATACCATGGTCTCAAACTGTGAGGTCTACTGAGGCGTGTCAAAATATGCTATGTCGATCGACATCTTTCAAGCCCCAATATAAGGTCTATATCCTCATACACCATCTAGGTTAAACTAGGTATATCAGTGGAGATCAGGTAATCGCTAGTAAAACTGGGCACCAGAGGCGTAAAAACATGTCGATATACCAGCTTTATTGTCGATTTAATAAACCTCTAAAGCTGAATAACGAAGCCTCGTCTATCAATGCGTCTAAGACTTTTGTAGTTGGTTCATCCTGGGACTGGGACCTCTCAAGCGCAGGTCCTTCGCACGCTGCCGATTGTTCCCTGGCAGGGATCCCTACGGGCGCTGGCTCAGTCAAAACCGTTCTTGGTACACCCGCAGAAAATATTTGCTTAATACCCTTGCTGAAGATTCCACGATAGATAGACGCAACAGCATAGGTTTTCTGAAGCTCTTCCATAATCAGCATTAACATGTCGAGCTTGTGGCGCTTGAGATACTCAGACAAAGAGTTGTCAAAACGACAGCGGAGAAGGTGCAGTTGCATGGCAGGGAAGAAGAGTAAAGGGGTGGTCCATTCCAGATGTGTTAGCCGATATAGCATTGCGGAGAGCTGGAGAATGAGGTTAAGTAGAAATCAAAACAACCCATCAAGCTACTCACGTCATAGGGCCTGCATATTGAAGGAGTTCCTCTTGGGCAATCATCTCGGCGATGTCGTTCACCTTTGAGGCGGCAGAGTGGGCTTTGAGGGCCATCTGTTCTCGCCAGTGGTCTTGTTGGGAGACGCGAAGACCTCCTGGTATTTCTGTTCCGAAGGGACGGTAAAATGTAATCAGCATGGCCCTGTCACAGAGGTTAGTTCCTATCACCGTGGAGAAACGGGCTTCACTGACTGATAATGTAGATGGATATGATACAAGTGAAATCTCACTGGCTTGCATAGGCCGGTTTCATACTAGTTAGGTAATTCACATTGTAGAGCCTCTTCCTCGAGGGCCTCGACTTGATGAAGTAACGGCTTGACCCTTACAGTCTGGTAGTTCACGGTAAGTAGAGTACCCAATAACCTGCTCAGCTCAATCATGGTCACCCAATAATTTGCCAGCGTAGGCATCTCAATTGGTATGTACGCAGAAGACATTGGCCCAGTGACACAGTCTATATCATAAAGAAAATCAGTTGCAAGTGGTGTGGGAGTACTGCAATCATCGAGGTTGATCCGCAATGGTCTCCCCAAACCTAACGCAAGCCAGCGGTCTCGATAAAGGCAGCTCCACCAGAGTGGACGATATAAGCACTGTTGCCTAAATGTAACTGTGCCTCTAGAGCTATTTGGGTTTTGATGCAGACCCAATCTTTGACACAGGTTTATAGCAATGCCAGTCCAATACCAAGGTTCCATATGTTCTTCCACATCCGAATGCCAGAATCCCATCAAAAGGGAAGACTGAAGAAGAACGATTTTATCATGCTCCCTCCCGACGCTATACATATACTTATCGTGAATCAGTAGTTAGCATGACATGAGGTTGTGGCTTGCGAAGTGATGGTCTTACCTGGGCGCGGGAGTGCATCACGGTTTTCGTCTCCTTTCGGGTTGTATAGCCCTCTTGTTCATGAATATACGTGGGAAACAAACTACACATCGATTCAATGCTGAGAACATGGTTTACATTTGCCGCCACAGAAAATATACTCCAAAGTAGTAAGAGGTTATACCATTTAGTGGGTTGATCTTTGTTAGTTGAAACGCTACAGGGTTATACTATATACCAATGATTTACTGCTAGGGAAATAGGTTTTAATTATAAATTTACTGTGGAGGGGCAATGATATTTTATGGTCTCTATTAAATAATGAAATAGGCTTAGTATTATAAGTTTTAGTTAATTTACTATTCAAAGTGGTAGCTAGACTCAGTGATGATAGTTTACTCCCAAACTAACCCTGGATCAGTTCAGCTCTGGCTCTATAATTACTAAGTGCTCAGCACACGCACCATCGTCTTGTCCCACGCTCCGGGATAAATCAATCACTGAGCAACAAGCGGGCCTTGAGCCAGCCCCGTTCCGGAAGAGGACAGTCCCAAAGTTCTCGCAGGAAAACAGTTCGCTAGGTACCGAGTAGATAGTGTACGTCCCCCACCGCCGATCCCACTTGGCAATGCTGCCCGGAGCTGAACACTGGAGATTTTGAGCTGAAAGTATCCTTCGCATACACGACTTTTATCGGATAAAGTAGTTAGTAGTGAACGTACAGCTGAACATGTGGCATGTGGCGTTATAGTGCCCAGCTGAAAATGGGCCATGGCTCTTCCCCTCTCCTCCTTCTCATAGATATAAATTGGCTGTCTATTTCTCCCGACTTACTTCCCCCCGTTTCATATCTATCTTCTTTTCACTTTGATAATAAATTCTTGCAGAATCCAAATACTATCGCAAAAATGAGCCGGGTATGTTACAGACTACGACAACACTTAATAGGTTCGCTGCTAATATAAGAGTATTCTTCCAAGGTCATCATTACATTTGAAAATGAGGAGGCATATGAGCTACAAAGACACATTGTCAACCAGTAAGTTTATCTGTGATTTATAGGACCCGACCAGAGGCCACGTGAATAACCAAATATGTAGGATGTTACAAAACATTGGCCTTCAAGAAGGAGATTATCCTGAAATTCCCAAGTTTCCTCCAGTGAAGATCATACCAGAGTAAGTATTTCTTGAGATAAACAGAGGGAGGAAAGGAGGAATAAAGGACTAACTGATAGAATAGGGCGGTGAAGAAGCTGGATGATGCCACTTTTACCGCCATAGGAGATCTTGATGGAGTGGCTGTGCAATACAAGGATGAAGATGATGATAGTCCTGATGGCCAAGCGTCCTACTAGCCAGATCATTACTGTATATAGAGGGTATATACGTACCTTGTGATACGTGAATTGAGCAGTAGTAATTATGAACAAAATTTAAAAACTAGAATAGACACATAGGATGATTTGGCAAGTTCTGACCTGGTTAGTAGTTGGTTTAGAAAGACCAATAGCGACCTCTTCCGAGCTACGAGGAGAGGCCCCCGCCTTTGGCAGCCAAGTCATTAAGTAATTCTACCATATGCCTGGAGAACCTGACTCTCTAGCATTTGTAGATGAAATTGAACATCATGTCGATACATATGTCAATCGTGTATAAGGTCCAACCAATCTGCAACAGGATGTTATAAACAATAACTGAAGAGATACTTTGGTTGAGAGGATATCACCCAGCGTGTTGGAATATGCCACGACTAATCTCTCCTGAGCGCGAGTTCTCACAACTGTTATTCTCGGAATCGGATCTGTATGGATTCTTTTGCTTGGTGCAAAATACTCTTGATCTTGTTCTTCAAACACGACCGTTGCCTCTTGGCAAGAGGGTCAGAATGGGAGCAGAGTATTCAACTGCTCTATTGCTGTCCCCTACTTCGTTGGAGATCGTGTAGAACTCTGTTAATGAAATTGGTAAGGTATCATGTTAAATAAGGCTCCTAATAACAACATGAGATTAAAGGAAATGCTTTTCAATCCTTTTGGTTCGCCTATCCAAGCAGCACCAAGACAATAATATATTAACCAGGACATTTTATTCCACCCAATCCAACTCAGGCGGGAAAGGACGCATTGCTTTAGATGGCATCCCGCGCAAAGATAAAATACACCCGACAGCTTGACACTTAGTCAAGAGCATCGGTGATACAGCCGTGGCTGGCATCCTTGACGGTCCTGTTGCAGCGTGTTAGTAACTGAGATCAGACCATATGCATTCTATGGGGCAGAGATAACATACCTAGCGTACTTGCCGAGGGTTCCTCTCATAGTCAAACCGGTGGGGGGCAACTTGCCGGCCTCCTTATCGGCTTCCCACTGCTTGCGTCGCGCGGCGAGAGTCTCCTCGTCAACCTCAAGATCAAGGGCGCGCTTCTCAGCATCAATGATGATGACATCACCATCCTTGACGAGACCAATGGGTCCACCAACAGCAGCCTCAGGGACAATATGTCCGATCAGGAAGCCGTGAGAACCGCCAGAGAAACGTCCATCGGTGATGAGGGCAACCGACTGTCCGAGACCATAGCCCATCAGGGCAGAAGAGGGCTTCAACATTTCTATCCCACGATGAATGGTTAGCTATGTCAACGAAAGGAATCTGAATCTGAACTCTCGATACGTACCAGGCATACCAGGACCACCCTTGGGTCCGGTGTAGCGGATAACCACAACGGTCTTCTCATCCTTCTTGATCTCCCCACGCTCCAGAGCAGCGATGAAATCATCCTCATCATCGAAGACACGTGCCTTACCAGTGAAAGAAGTACCCTCCTTGCCAGTGATCTTACCAACACTGCCACCCGGAGCCAGGGATCCCTTCAGAATCTGGATGTGGCCAGTCTCCTTGATGGGGTTGGACAGAGGGCGGATGATCTTCTGATCTTCGGGGAAATCGGGCACCTTCTCGAGGTTCTTGGCGAGAGTTTCACCAGTGACAGTCATGCCGGAGCCATCGATGAGGCCTTCCTTGAGCAGGAACTTGAGCAGTGCGGGGGTACCTCCGATCTTGTGCATGTCGGCCATAACATACTTGCCCGATGGCTTCAGATCAGCCAAGAAAGGAATGCGGTCAGAGACGGACTGGAAGTCCTCAATATCCAGCTTAATGCCGACCGAATCAGCGATGGCAATCAAGTGCAGCACAGCGTTGGTCGAGCCACCGGTGATGTTCACCACAACCATAGCGTTTTCGAAAGCCTGGCGGGTCATAATATCCCGAGGGCGGATGTCCTCCTTCAGAAGCTTCTTGATCGCCCCACCGACCGCCAGACACTCAAGGTCCTTGGCGCGGGACTCGGCAGGGTTGGAAGAAGAGCCAGGGAGGGTCATACCAATGGTCTCAATGGCGGTGGCCATGGTGTTGGCCGTGTACATACCACCGCAGGCACCGCCTCCTGGGCAGGCGTTACGGATAATATCGAATCGCTGAGGCTCGGTAATATCGCCGCTCAGGAACTGTCCGTAGGCCTGGAATGCGGAGACGATGTCGATTTCGGCATTGTTTTGGGTCGCGGCACAGCCGGGCTTGATGGTGCCTCCGTACAACATGATACTCGGCCGGTTGACTCTGCCCATGGCCATCAACACACCGGGCATGTTTTTGTCGCAACCCGGGATACTGATGTTGGCATCATACCACTGACCCCCCATAACAGTCTCGATAGAGTCGGCAATCAAATCACGACTCTGAAGAGAGTATCGCATACCCTTCGTACCCATACTGATTGCATCACTGACACCGACGGTGTTGAACTGCATGCCGATCAAGCCTGCCTGTTCCACGCCCTGCTTGACGCGGTGGTTGAGATCGAGCAGATGCATGTTACAGGGGTTACCGCTATACCAAACGGAGGAGATACCGACTTGAGCCTTGTTCATGTCCTCTTCCGTAAAACCCGTAGCGTAAAGCATGGCCTGGGAAGCACCCTGCGAGATGGGCTGTGTGACATGGCGGGAGACCTTGTTCAGGGCGTTGTCGTCTTCGGAGGAAGAGGTCTTTTGTCTGGGGAGGGTGGTAGAGATGGGACGACTAGTATTGAAAATAAATCAGCAACCTGCTGCCATCGGTGAATGGGAAAGGGCAATTCGTTCGATCGCCTTACACATTGACGGCGGACCGCCTGGAGAGGCTCCGTAGAGCAGAGGGCATACGCCCCCGAGTTTGTGAAAGAAGCATAATCGCAGTTTGAGGGGTATGGGGTCCGTGGAAATGACACACAAGGGCAATTGGGAACTCAATTGAAAGAGAATAAATAGCTTCTGAACTCTACAGAAAGTGGAGCGGGTCGCCGCGAGTGATGCCCGTTCCTCCGCAGCGAAGTCGGGGGCCGGAGTTAGCCTCAGGCTCCCCGATGCCGGTTGGCCCAATCCCGTGCCGTAGTTTGTCAGCACGAAGGCCAATCATGCGTCATTGACTACTCAATTACCTACGAGTATACATAAAATATAGGGACAGCAATGAACCTCTAATCATCTTCAATCGTGTTTGTATTGTGTTTATAATTAATTATTATACACTTAAACTCTTTTTCGAACCCATCTAGAACCTGCGATTGTTGTCTTCTACCACCCTCTTGCCTTGCGGTCTTTTGTCATGAGTATTGTATATCCGTAAATAAGAGAAATGAAAAGAATAAAAAGAAAGCAAGTACACGATAAAAGAGGTTAGGAAGAGCAAAAAAAAATAGTTCTATGGGTATACCGGTTTTTTGGGCTAGCCAAAGCAAGCGAATGGAATGAGGAAAGGCTATAGAGGGGAAGAAAAGAAGAGAAAAGAGAAGTAGGAAGAAAGAAGAGAGGAGAAAGAAAAGAAGGAAGAAGGGAAAATATAAAGGAGAAAAAGAAAAAGAAAAAAAAAAAAAAAGAGAGAAGAGAAAGACAGATACAAAACACTATCAGTGCATCACCCCGTGCTCATCTCTGTATCACGTAACAGCGCAATATAGAAAACCGGCTGGGAGAGTGCTGAAATAGAAACCAAGAGACCAGCTCTACGGTACCTCTTTGTCACCTCTCTTCAACCCACCCGGTACGTCAATTGCTTTCGCAACCCACTCGATTGATGCAATCTCATCCAAGCTTTTGCGTTTAGTATTCCGCTTTAGTAGCCCTTCAACGCACTCACGGCTCCCCTCTAGATCTTTCCCCTTCTGAGGATCCCATTCACCGTCACTGTCCGCATAGCGATACCACGACCACTCACATCGCGCAATGCGGTGTGGGGTACGAGCACGGAGTTTCGCCGGGTCCCCTCGAGTACCCGGCAAAGCATCAAACGGCAATCGGTTTTCCATCATTGCGTAGAGCAAGACGCCAAGGGCCCAGCCATCGGTGGACCGTCCGTCGTAAGGCTGTCCCATCAGAATTTCCGGGGCGGCATAATCCTCACTTCCACATCGGGTGTGGAGGAGCGGGCTCTCCGGAGGTTGCGGGATTCGTCTAGAGAGACCCAGGTCGGTAAGGGTAACGACCGCGCGATCATATGTACGCCAATCAGTTATCTCCTCCATAGCAGCGGGAGGGAGAGTAACTAGGACATCTATAATTGGTCCGACTGGTAAGCACGATGGTCAATCCAGGCCACGGTGGAATCTCTTACTCTCTAGTTTAATATCCCGATGGACTATGAAGTTGGCGTGCAGGTAGCGCACGGCAGCCACCAACTCAGAGAAGATCCGTCGAATGAGCACTGGGCTCATGGGCCTCGGTCCAGAGGTTGCGACGTCGAACAGGTCACCTCCTGGGCAGTAATCCAGGACCAAAAGAGCGCGCTTTTCATCGCTTCCGAACGCTTTTAATTGCACAAGTGATGGATGGTTGACCGACTTCAAAATTTCCACTTCCCGCTTGAGCGAGACCTCCAATCGTTCCTCATCGGCTCCACCTGCTGGGCCATGCTCAATGACCTTCACAGCGACGAGCTTTTGTGTAGCAGCATTCACCCCTTGGAGACTTGAACTGTAACCAGAATCCATATCATCCTGCAGTTCCATGCGTACTGCTAGACATACTTGGCTAAATGTGCCTTGTCCGAGCTCGCGCAGTTTGCGATATTTGCGCGGCTGCTGGGACCGAATGGAACGTACCGAGTATATTTCATCGGAGCCATCCATGGATTGTGGGCTGAGAATGACGGGCTCCACATCACCATCAGATGTACTGCGACTACTTCTTGGCGGCGTGGGAGGACGGACTGCGGGTAACGCAATGCCGCGATGAATCGCCAAGTGCTGTTCCCGGTGCATGTTGTTTGATTTCGAGTCGGTACTTGACGATGAAAAGATCCCCTGAGACGCACCGGATCCCGAAACTGCGATTGGACGTGGCTTGATCGGAATGGCCTTCGTTGGAGGGACATACTCACTAAGGCTACGATTACGAGCATGCTTCGGCGCTCCATCAGGGCGCGGCTTGCTGGGTGTGTCTGAATGCATGTCAGCACCCAACATCTCCGCCATCCCACGTTGCTTGCTTCGCGATCGACATTCTGAGGGCCCCAGCACTTGAGACGAGTCACTCAAACGCAAACTCAGGCTCGAGCCGTTGCGCGAAAGGAGTGATGGGGTCCGAGATAACGACTGTGAACTGCGACGCGGTATTTTCCATGGCGAAACGCCACCGATCGGCGAAGGTAAGGGAGTGATGTCGCCCATGGCCATCAGCTGTGGCGATGACAGTAACGATGCCGGAGACAGGGAACCTCCTCCGGACGAGGGCCTTTCGAGAAAGCCACGCAAACTCGATGTCCTTCGCGGGAGGCTGCTCGATGAGAGGCTGTGATGCATGAAAGGGTCGGATTCTTTCGACGGGCTCAGTTGTGCTGTGCGCGGCAGGTCCGTTCGTATATGAAGCGACGGAAGGGGCTGTGGAGCCCCGGGGTGACATTGGTGAATCATTTCATCCTTTATATTCGGTGAGAATTCCCCATTCAAGGATACTGGAGAGCAGATGCCCTCTACTCCAAAGCTCATCGAAGGCACCGAAGAAATTTCATTGTTACTCGAAGCCGTTGTAGCAGAGGCTTCGTGTAACTGAATAGGCTGTTTAGCAAACAATGCTGACCTATCGGTCGGTTGAGAAGAATCCGGGGAAATCATCGAACGAGTCAGGGGATTCAGAGCTGCGATATCCCGATGGCTCAATTTAGCGGAAGGGCACTGCTGTCGCGGCGCAAAGTGGACCCAAAGCGCAGTTGTCACTCGAACTAGGCGGGTAACCGCTAACTAAAAGGTCCCTGGGGTTAAACTCTAAGTAGACCAAGCTGTACTTGGTGTGAAAAAGGGCCCTCAGGCCTAAAATTTTGGTCGAAGCCGGGGGTGAATGGTAATTAATGGGTTGTGTTATCAAAGCATTTGGGAGGGGAAAGGAAGTGGCGACGATAGAGAAGGGAAGAAGAGGAGAAGAGATAAGATAATGGTAAAAAGGAAAAGGAAATTGGGTGGGTTTAATTTTTTTTCAGTCGGGGAAGCAAGAAGAGGCAAAACTAGGGTCGGGGACGGGAATGGTTGTCCTTCCCCAAGGGCTAAATACACTCTCTCCCGGGGCCAGTATCCATGCAAAACGTTAAGTTTCGCAGTAGCTGCTACTTTGGATGACGCTACAGAGAAAAAAACCCACGCGGGGTCAGCTGATGACCGCTCTGCTTTTGGCATAGTGGCCACGAGGTGAGGACTCAACAGGATTTAACGCTACCCCGCATCCAGTAATGCCGTTGGCGGGAAGCCCAAAAAGAGGAACCACTGTTCCCTTCCATATCAAGATCGTCTCGGTTCTTTTTGGTATTCCCTCTCACCTAAATCAGACTCTTCCTGGATATGGAAGCTTCATGAGGCTTAGTCTGGTCGGAGATCGTGGGAAGAGTTCGGAGTACAGGGGTGGATGCAACGACTAATCCGTAATCGAGGCACACTGAAGTCAGTGGCTGGATTGTGATGGATCATGGCTGACAGGAGACTTTGGCAGGACCCACTCTTTGGGATTTCTCTTCCTTCACCTTTTCTTTTTCATTTTTTCTCTTTTTTTTTATTTTATTTTAGTACACATACTATTGATCCATTGATTTACATGGCGATGAATTTTTCTTTCTCTCTTTGACTATGATTTAAGTGGTGGTGCCTTGCATATCCTCTAGATCGGGTAGCCTGCTGATACTGCACAAAATAAAAATAAAAATAAAAAGAACGTTTATTTATCCTTCAATTTTAACGGCGCTATTGTCTATCCTTGCCTCTCAACAAACCCCAGGAGCTTATAAGGACTACTAGTAGTAGTCCTACGAAGCTCGAGCAGATACGTATTTCCCAATTGGGAAACCTGTGAGCTGCAAGAAATCCCAAACGAGCAACGAGCCCCGGAGTCGGACACCCAAATGATTGTACCGTAATGACATTCATTGAATGGCAAATGATCCATGGACTGCAAGTGACCCAGTCTCATCTAGGCTAAGCTTGAATTAAGTGAAACTAAGCCGGATTAGGTCGCAGTAACCGGGAAAGTGGTTCTTGGTGAAATAACACTAAAACAACCCCAATTGCAAGTGGAAGCGGACAGACGTTCTCGATTTCCGCATTCCACTGTCACAAAGGTCGATTGGACTCGACTTGCTGCCGAAATTTCGGGTCAAACCGCATTCCATGGTTTCAAATCTCCGACCCATTTTCGACGCGACGAGTCGTTATTTATCATCTGTCGAGTTGATTTGACGCACAGTGCACATCATCGGCCACACTACCTTAGCGTCTGCGTTAGTTCCGCTTGAAGGGGCAAAATTAACTCCGTCGATTGTACCCTGAATCTGATTGCTCTGAAATTGTGAAGGGTTACCCTCGGTTACTTGCTTCAAGATCGACGACTGTGCCTCCAAGTCTACGTAAGCTGTTTGATACTCACGAGGTTTGCTTTTTGGTGCTTTAAATCTGTGATTTGTCACGGGGGAAAATTGAAACAGGGGATCCCTCGACGATCGCCAAGACAACGAGCTATTGAAAGGCCCCGTTGACCCAGCATTTCGGGCCTACGGGCGCATTTCTTTCAAATGAATGGCTGGTGAGCGTTTTCTTGGCAGGCATGTCGAGCTTACTGGATCCGGTTGGTCAATGCCATGATTATCCGTCCCACACTTCTGTTGCAAGTTGACTGAAGATCTGCCAAGGATGCTACGTAGGAATAGATTTCACGGATGACGTGGATCAAAATCTCGTCATTGTATGAGATCAGTGTCCCTGGATCTTGGAAGGATAAATACTTGCCAGAGGCTTCGCGAAAACATCCACCGGGCTTTCTTCGCTCAGTTCACGGTCCAGAACACGTTAGTTCGACAGATGTCTCATTTCCGGGTAATTATAGGTCCCACTACACATTACGTTGCTAAGCAAAAGCTTTGATGGGCCACTTGGATACCGGACCCAACTGACCCAGACTCAGGGTATCAGCCCTAACGGTTTTCATAGTCGTATATGCGGAATTTATGGCCCTCCACCGACAGGCGCGTGGCCGCTTATGAGTATGCAAAGGGGCCACTAACCGTTAGACTGGAATTGACGAAATTTTTCAATTCTAGCCCTGAGACCGTTGCACCCACCGTTTGCTACTGTTGCAGTTCTTTGTCCCCAGAGGTAATCGCCGTTCAAGCTGGTGTTGGAAACGTCTCAGGGTCAGGGCCGATGTTACTGTGTTGCGTTGCATACTAGTGATTCCAGATACGGAAGCTGAATGCAGGTTCCATTGATCCTTCACCAGCGACTCTATCACTTTTTCCTCAGCAATGACAAAATCATCGTCCCGACTCATTTGGCAATCACATTCCATATAAAATTATTTTCGGAGGGAGAAAGTTTTCTCAACGATACGACCGTAAACCTCGCCACGGAGCTTATGCTTCTAACTCAAGAATGTACGCGATTTATTAACTGGAATGTGAGGACAAAAATGGTAGCTTGCGATCTCCATCACAGTGCCTGAATTCCACACTATGCTAGATCTTGTTAGCCTTGTCGCGTGATCAGATATGGATCATCATTTCTTGCGCCTGCATAGGCTCTCGAAGCTTTTCCATCGAGTAGATGAATGAAAGAGATTATCGACCGATTGTTCCTAATTGGTACAGAGATTACAGATCAGCCATTTGTACGGTTGCACTAGGAATTTTGAGGCGCAACTTAAATCATGGGCTTCGATTAATTATAACCACCCAAGTCCGGCTGCTACCTTATAGCTGAAAATCCTTATACCATAAGATACTGAGAAAACCATCAACCTGGGCAACAGCTAATTAATCACATATTGTCCGGTAGACATGATCCGAGACACCTAAGGTCATCGATGGTAGAGTGCTGCCAAGTGTATAGACTGGAATGACGATATCAACAACCATGTACTATATACATACATTCACCATAGAGAAGGTTCGCGATGAGGTCTAGATAAGGCATTTTCGTGTAACAAAAAACCCTAATAATAAGTCACCAGTGAGCCGTGATTGGTACACTGCTCCCAACGTTTGGCTGCTTTGTGTTCAAGCGCAGCACCTAACTCAAAGTGGTAATGAGCACAGGGGCCGGCCCGGGCCCCCAATGAGTTAGAATATATGATTGTCTAATAAGGTGCGAGACATGGCTGAATTCTTAAAGGTGCATAAGAGTGAACAGTTTTCTGGAAGCTGGGCTCCGGCCTTTTTGTTAGAGGCTGCCCTGGTAGACTGATGTCTCATTTCCCAATTAGTAGTATCGTTGCACTTTATAACTGCTAACACATCATTCGATTAGAGTTAAACTTATAAATAAGAGTATCCTGATCATAGACATTCCATTCGGATAAACTGGCTGACTGCGGTACAGTGTAGCCAGTCACATATACAACGCGAAAGCCAGTGCATCGCGCTCCAGTAAGGCAGCACGAAGGGGTTTTTGATCCATGTCTGCAGCTGTCGCGATAATTTCCGTGCGATCTCCGAGGCAATCTCTCAGCCTGAGGTAATAGAGGACTCACTTAGATGGAGAGGATCAGAAGCGCTAGAGAAGTAATGCCGTAAGTTCATTCCGTGCATGGAATGCATGAGACGAACTAATTTGCCCGTAGGTGATGGGCTCCGAAGTTGGACCAGTTAGACATTGGCCGTTCTAATATCTGGACAAGACCATTAATAGGGAGATGGGAGGTGAGTACCATCACCAAGCGTGGAGCTTGCAGCATAATACCTTGTCATTCGACTCAGGCCTAGCCCACTCTCCATCTCACCGTAGGCATACTATGAAGGTTGCGATTGGCCATCAGACCCGGTGGCTACCACTCGAGGTTTATGTGTGCCACGAAAAAGGGTAAGATAGACTACAAATCAGGCTTTCTATTCGAATTACATGGCTGGTGGCCGAAGTTGTTCAATATAGGTCATTTTGTGTTATTGTAACCAGTCTAAGATATCAAGGTCAAACGCTTTCCTGAATAAACCATGTTCTTGTCGATGGCTTGTGTGGTCCTCGGCATAGTGAAATGATTGCAATTTGACGTGACTATCATTGTCTTTTCTCCTCAGATAAATTATCTGCAGTATGAGTCAATATGACCGCAGACCAAGGGTCGAGATTGACCCCTCACACCTTCTATCTTCTTGGCAAATGTCCGCATCGCAATGAGCAGACGATCAGTTCTAGACACAGAATAAATGGTCCATATTTTGCGGGTCAGGCCGTTTCTGTCACGATAACACTCTTTTACCTATACCGAGGCCTTTGTAGTATTTTGTATGCTCTTTGCCATTCTGCTACGATAACTTCACCGTCAACTACATTACTTACCCTTATTTGATGGCCTTGCCATCATATAATCAATTCTTATTCAACATGGTAATCAAATAATTAGTACTTTTTGTTTCATATATGTGGCAATCAAATGCCTATTTGACTAATTAGGTGCGTTAGAAGCTATATCTGCTAGTATGGACATGCCCGAATGAATCAGCAGGGACGGTGCTTTTGACACAGCCTGACTCAGAGTGTGCCCGTGTTACATTCGACATGGTCAGAGTACTTTAATAATAGTCCTCTGGTTGGTCGTCTTCAGCAAGGGTGCATGCGACACCCCTCATATGATGCAGTCGTGCTGTTGCATTAACGGGTTGACAGCTAGGTAGAGCCCCACACACCTTGTCGAGACGATGCAAAAATTTCTCCGGAGTTTCTTCAGAGCATAAACGAGCCACGGTTAACAGTCAACTACGTATAGTTAAACAAGGCTTAATTAGATCTTTTGTTATGAAAGTACAAGATTTACAGACACCGCTAAAACAAGAAAGTCAGCAACCCACGGCGGGTGGCACGATCCCAAATCCTAACTTGTACGCTCAAATATGGTGTGGTGGATATGAGATCAAGCCGTGCATCAATTCTGCAAGCTGTTGTCACATTTCATCTATGAAGACTCTAGCTGCCGAATTTACCCCTCACCTAGCCCACAACGCACTGATCAACTCAGGTAGTCACTGTGCTAAAGTGTCAAAAACTCTAGAGCGATACATTAGTGCCGACTTAGCTGCACTTTGGAAGCCACTTCCATATCTATGTTCAGTGACTGGTTAGTATCTCGTAAATATATCGTGGTGGTTATCCAATCTTACATCACGGGTGCTCTCTGTAGACCGTCTGTATTGAGGTAGCATTACGAATACATGTAAGCGCACAATGATAGTTGAATGGTCGCATCATTCTTAGATCACGGTCGATATTCTCGTCATTATAGGATATACATTATCTCATTCCTTGGAAGTCTGACTGCCAGGAAATTATCCCTAAGGTAAACAGTTGGCATGGCCATACATGCGGCCTGTCTTAACTTAAATGGGTTACGACTTCGTACAAGGTTATCAATACTATGCAATACTGCCAAGTGTTAGTTGCTTCTTGCGCATGGGTCTACTATGTCAATCACTACCTTTTCATCCGTAGCAGTACTCTTCGAGAAAGGCGAGACCTTTTCGGGACCGCTTGGATTAATTACGGCATTTGCAGGAATGCATTAGTCCAGGTTCAGAAGCTTGCCCGCAGCTATAGGGTGTAGAGGAGATATAAGGAGCAAGCATGTCGCCTTCGCTCAGAGAGGCTAGAGATCACTTCAACAACTTACAAAATCTTTCATTCAAGCAACAGACATAAGTAGCGGATTCAATCAGCATAATGGCTATGGCTCTTGCAGCTGATTACGTTTTAAACCATTTAAGCCAACCATATGGCAGCAGCTTCTGGATGGCAGCCGCTGCATCCTTGGTGGTACGTCTATCCTACGGCAATATGCATCATTTCACTTGCATCCTGAGTTGCAGAGTTGACGGTTAATAAGCTTATATCCTACGTGGTATACGATACTATCTATAACTTATTCCGTTCTCCATTGGCATCATTTCCTGGACCAAGGCTCTGGGCCGTGTCCAATATCCCTCGTCAGATAAGCATACTGGGAGGTCATAGCCATTTGAAAATGTTGGCCCTTCACCATCACTACGGCCCTGTTGTGCGAGTTGGTCCCAGTGAGCTCTCGTTCAATAGCTCCCAAGGCTTTCGAGATATCTACGGGTTACATCGTGGACGACCACAATTTCAAAAGGATCCTAAGTTATATGGTTCGCCGTTGAACGGAATTAGTAACAGCATCGGTGGGTATATCGATAGCGAATCTCACTCCAGGCACAGACGATTGCTATCCCATGCCTTCTCCGAGCGAAGTCTACGTGAACAGGAAGGGATAGTCGTATCATACGTCGATCTTTTTATCCAGCGACTGCGAGAGAGAACTAATGCCAATAAAATGCATAGAGCAGAAGAAGACCTCAAAAGCTGGTTCAATTTCACTACCTTTGATATTATCGGTGATCTTATGTTCGCAGAGACCTTTGACTGTCTCAAGGACAGTCAACTACATCCGTGGATCGCTCTCATGTTCAACAATGTGAAGGGTATCGCGTTTCTTGGAGTCTTGAACGAATATGCACTGTTCAGGAAAATACAGGGGTCGCTCTTACCAAAAGCTTTGAAACAGAAAATGCTGGAAAATCATAGGCTTTGTGCTCAGAAAGCAGACCGCCGGCTTCAGAAAGGAGCTTCTCGTCCAGACTTCGTATCCGCCATTCTAAAACATGGGCTCAGTGATGATAAGGAAGAGTTCATCGAGAACCAGCCCCTCATGAGCAGAGCCGAGATCCATGCTAACTCAATCTTGTAAGCACATACGGCCATTTCTGTTCTTCTCTTTCGTGGTGGCTAACGCAGACAGTATTACCATCGCTGGGAGCGAAACGACGGCGTCGCTACTATCTGGGTGCCTCTTCTACCTCTGTAAGCATAAGTATATCATGGACCAACTCAGCAAGGAAATCCGTACCGCGTTCTCTAAAGACGAGGAAATCACGTCGCCCAAATGTTTCCACCTTAGTTACCTCAACGCAGTCCTTAAAGAATCCCTCCGTCTGTATCCACCAGTGGCGGGAAGCCTTCCACGACTAGTCCCTGAAGGCGGGTGTACAATTGACGGCCACTTCGTTCCAGAAAACGTATATTCAAATTTTATTTGATGCTTCTTGCTGGTCCCAAAAACTAACATCATACAGGTAACCGTTTCCACCCACCATTACGCATCATACCATAATAGAGAGAACTTCACGTTCCCAGATCAATTCATTCCCGAGCGATGGCTGGGGACTGACGATAGGTTCGACTCTGACAGAAAGGATGTGGTGCAGCCATTTAGTTTGGGTCCCAGAGACTGCCTGGGCAAAAAGTTCGTTCTCATACTCTATGTACTTTGTGCTCGATTCGCTAACATCTGCCAAAGCTTGGCACACATGGAGATGCGTTTGATGTTGACCAAATTGCTGTTCAATTTCGACATATTCCTCACTGCAGAGAGTGAGAACTGGGATAAGCAGAGGATGTTTATTATCTGGGATAAACCAGCACTGATGGTTAGATTGACTGACAGATTTGCGTGATTGCCAGCATACAGGAGATATATATTTTTACCCAAGAAAATGAGAATGGTATGTGGCGGGCATTGAGTAGGCAATGAAATAGAAGATTGATCTTTTACGTCCTGCTAATAGCTACGGTCGCTTTAAAATCCTACTGAATTATACTGAAATTTCGAAAAGACACTTGGTGTAGGTGAAGGCTTTATTAATCGATACATACCGTGCCTCGACCAACTATGGAATGGCTATTTTATAGATAATTATAGTTAATATTGCCAATTATGAAAGCAATTTTTAACAATTGGTCCCATAACTCAGTCGGTTAGAGTGCTGAGCTAATAACTCAGAAGTCGAGAGTTCGAGCCTCTCTGGGACCATTACTTTTTAGCACTTCAATTTTTGCTCCCATATCTTATCTCCTGGTTTCATTCCAGCATTCGCAAGAGATCTATGATTATCTCTGTTGGAATTCACTCATGCCAATTCCCCTCATGCTTTTGGTATGCCTTTCCCGACACCACAGTGATTCTTCAAATTTCAATCAATTGTGGTCTGAATAGTCTTTACCCGCTTCCCCACACAACCCACACCCACCCACAATCCCACAGTCTGCTCTCTTTGCGGACTACTATATATATCCCATGGGGTGGCAAGGGCCTGCGAGGTCTGTTAACTAGTTACAATTGAGAAACCCAACTCAATTTAGCAAAAGGGTTCGTCCTGGCTTCGTCCATACGAACCCCATAGTCATTAGTAACCGCATTGTAGTTCAAGTTTAAACCAAGAGTAGGTATCCAGCAAGACTCCGCCCCGTAGAGATCTCGACATATAATCATATACCCACATTAAACTTGCAAACCTTAGCACTCTAGACAACGTTTAGCGGAGCCGGGTGAACCTTACTTTGCCATACATACACATGCCCGACTATCCCGAGAACTCGGCCCGGAATTATGTATCGTGGTTGAACCCCCAAGATGGCGGGTCAAAAATAGATCCAAGATAAAGCCAGGAACGAACCAATAATAGAGACCTGAATCTGCAGAAACCGTTTAGTAAGCGGCTCTACTAAACTTATACCAAATAAACAAAAGAATTTACATACTAATGTATCGGCATTGCCACCTCGATCTCCGAGCACACCCACTAATCTTCGGAGAAAGACTCAGCCCTGTACTATTTCTGCTGCCCATCACTGGATACCCCTGGCTCCACATGTCTTACATTGAAGTTATATCTTCCCTATAGCCGATGTGACCTAGTCAACTACAGTATTATCATGCTATATGGTGGCAGGGCCGCGTCAGCCATGGCTATTCTTGTCTAAAGCCAAGAAAAACCAATGAAGAGCTATGAGTCTGATCTGTATGTTCTATTGGCCACTATACAATAGTGAGCTGGTAGATTGGCTCGCTTCAAACATATCCGTGCTTGACATACTCTACTAGTCAACACAATCTCGAAAGCATGGGGCTTGAATCACACTAACTTGAGATACACTTAGATTAGAAACAATTCATGAACAAATGTCTAGCGATAGTGGCTTAGAAGCGGGCCCCAAGGGAGCTGAGATCCATGGATTGGTGATCTTAGGCCCTCATACCTTTTATAAAGCCCACAGAGACCCTCTCTAACTCCAGTAGCATCACAAAAAACAACCTTACACACTCTACCAGAACATCCACCTATCCAGAACCCAATTCACATTCCCTACCTAATTTCACAATGTCAGTTACATCAACCGCAACCACCACCGCCGCCTCCGCGACCTCAACCTGCCACCAAAAGCTCTACGAGATCCCCGTCAAAGATGCCGCCTGCGCAATGCCAATGCAGGGAAACAACTCTGCAATCATGAGCAGCTGCTGCTCTTCTGCCTCCGTCGTCTCCTACAACGACTGCGACTACTACTGTCTGGCTCAGGGCCAGAACGTCGGCGACCTGGCAGAATGTCTCATCAAGGCATCCGAGCCCGGAGAGGTGTGGTGCAACACTAACGCCAACGCGACCGCCACCGGCAGCGTTCCTACAACTGGTGCTGGAACTATCGTCGCTACTGCCTCTGCTACTGGCTCGACTGCGACTGGGACGAAGAGTTCTTCTGGTGCGACCTCGACTTCTACTACCAATGCTGCTGCGGCCAAGAAGTCGATTGGAGTGCTTGCGCTCTTGCTGTTTGGATCTACGGCTGGGCTGTTGGTTTAGACATATCGTTGGGTTGATTTGGAGGGATTAGAGGCCTTGGATAGGGGGGTGGCGAGTCAGCTCGGCCTTTGACTGTGGCCCTGTGGTTTGGAACTTGGCGAAAGCCTTCGTGGCTTTTTAGTGCTATCATTTTGTTTGTTTTTTGTGATTGTTGTTTTTATTGTAAGATTATTCAGTGGAAGAGTGTATATCTTGAATTCAGCTAGGGCATTATATAATTGCTGTTCTGTACATGAGAACCTTCCGTATTATATTGCAAAGCATGCCCTATGCCACAAAATCCATAGAAACAGAACTTATGAGAACTCTTTACTCAGCACTCCCTCGTAGAACAACCTCTTTCATCATCCCCTGAAAACCTTCCCCAATGCGGGCTAGTGGAGCTTCGATTCCAATTGGAGCCCAAACTTGGCTTTCGCCATTGATCCCCAGACGCGCAAGAAACTCCATACTTGTAGATCCTGCACCCGAATCGGAGGCTCTGAGCAGAGTTCGATTGCCCTTTCCAATTAATTGCACTTGGGTCCACGTATTAAGAGGAAGACTGTAGTTGAGTGAGTATGGGTTGCCACCGCTTATCAGAGTTATATTGCTAATCGACCCGTTTCCGTTTAGAAGGGCCGAGTCGGGTCCCGCAAAGAGGGTGCCGGGGGTTTGTGATGTGGGGTTCACCCAGAATGATAGAGTGTAGTCTCTCCCTTTGCTACCTAGTGGGGTGTTCACATAGCAGCCGTTGGAAAGTAGGAGAGTGGAGTTTTGGACGTGGCATCCTCGTATGATTCCATCATAGCCGTTTCCAGAATGGTCAACGACGGCCTCGGTGTCCTTGTCGAATTTGTAATGTAGTACGGTATCAGTGTGACTCTGTACACGACGATCTAAGTTTTGTCCAGGGATTGCGGCGTGAATCTTGTCAAATACTGCATCATATTCCTCCTCTAGAATGCTTCCGCCCCATTGTTTGTCGGCCAGGGCAGGAAGTGTATCCCTCCACGAATAATATGTTTCAAGGACCGTAGTAGAATTTGGACCATAGTCGTTCCATAGAGCCGCAATGTGGCCGAGGATGTGAGGGTCATTCCGAGGAGGGTTGTTGGTGGCATTCTTGGTGTCGAAGACATTGGGAGAATAAGCCCCGCCGGCGGGATTTCCATAGAACACACGAGTCTTGTTCAGCGTGGATGGGTAGCTACCGGACCACTTGCCTACAATGTAGAACGCATCGTCCGAATTGAGCACATTATATCCATTCTTGATATAGTCGAAGTAAGGATTATCCTCGAAGAACTCCCAATGCTGGATGGAGACGTCCGTGGAAACATTGGCACCCTGTGATGGTTTGAAGGTGCCCCAGATTCTCATGCCCTTGCCTGATTCTTTGAAGATATAGTCCCGCATCGTATTAACAAAAGATGTATAATCTGCCACTAGATCTTTTTCATATTCGTCTGCACCTATGTGAACGGTTTTGCTGTGGAACCAGGGCAAGAAAGCCTTCCAAATGGCCTTCATAGTAGGAATAGTGTTTGGATGGGTAATGTTAAGCATGCTGAGATCGTCAAGGGCTAGCTCAGGCCGCCACTGGGTGATGACCAGCGCATGACCTGGAGCTTCGATCTCAGGAATAATAGTGACACCCCGCCGGGCACACTGTTGTTGGACGTTGTCGAATTGCTCCTTGGTATATGATTCATTGGCCCGTTTATTCAGTCCAGCTACCGCAGGATCCTCCGACCATAGGCGGAATGCTGCATACAGATCCATCGACTGCTGAGCGGAATACCGATCTACGTTGTTGTAGAGATTGTCGCTCAAATGTACGTGAAATGCATTCTGTTTGAAAAAGGATAGGAATGCGCACATTTCGATCAGAAATTCAGGGGGGTAAAAGTGGCGCCCAGCATCCAACTGAAGAGGAGTTAGAGTATGTAACGACGCAATGGAGTAGTTCGGCAAGCGAGTCACATACCATGATGCCTCTATTAGCCCACCCAGGCGCATCCACTGCAGATCCTTGAGGAAGGGTGTCGCCACTGACGACTGCCGCCTGAATCAATGACCGCGATCCCCACCAAACACCTAGTGGACTGGCTCCAGCGATTTTCACGCCATTTTCGTTTATTGTTAGGGTATATGCTTCTGAGGTATATCTCCCGGCAGCATCATGGAATCCCGTGTCATTCGTAAATGTGAAGAAGATTGAATTTACCGCGGCCGTCCTGCTAGACGTGAGTGGTATATCAATCCCTACTGTGGACTGGAGGTCCTTCTGGAAAGTCTCGGCGAATTGTTGCAACGTAGGTGGGATTTGGGTTGCGCCATCATTATCTACAACATTGGCATAGCGCGCATCAACCACAATACTGGTGAGTTGAGCCAGGGAATAGATACCGTTCGTTCCATTGAACGGTATAGTTGGGATAGTGACCAATCGGCTGTACCCTGCAGTCTGTGAGACGTTGTCACGATATAGATTCATAGTTCGTACCTCCTATAGAAAGGGAAAGGAAAAGGCCTATATTAACAAGTTGACCCCAAAACATAATGGCGGAAAATAGAAATATGGCTTTGGAGTGGAGAGATTGATCAGGAGATGTCTAAGAAATACCTCCATGGCTTTCTTCGCTATTTAAGGTCCGGCCTCCATATTTTGGTAACATCCAAGCCATGTATGTAACATGGTGCACTGTTACTATCAACACTTCGCTTGGATATATCGGCAAAAGAAGAAGGTTACAACTAATCAACAGTAGTCACCCTAGTGATCTTCGCGTGGAGTGACGTTTCATAACAGAGAGGTGGGGCTCAGTCTCACGTCTAGTATAAATGGGCGATTTTTACTAGTAGAGAGTAGAAATAACCGGGCTTTGCTGGACCTTATTCGTATGCCGGGAGATTATTGTCTGACAGACAACAAACAAGCCGTGATTATTTCTTTATGGATTTGGAGACTGCTATCAGTTCACTCTTCGCAGAGTGGAGGCATCTTGATAGTACTGGACTCAAACGCTTATCTCGATGATTGAGGAGCTTGGACTCTGCAACCCCGCACGGCACGAACAAGGGTAATGTTTGATAAATTGAGCTCACTGGTTGATCCATCCAGATCGGGGGAAATCCGACAATAGTCGTGCAGATCAGCATCAGACTCCGCATGGTTGGAATTAGCAATGTCACCCTTATGTAACCTGGGGGTTGTGTTTGGTTTCTCCGCTATCAGTACTGTGACAGTGGCCACGATTCCAAGTAATCAGCTTCGGGACATAACAAGTATTGGAAAGCGAGCAATATGCATCGCAATATCACCGAGTGTATCTCCCACCAATGGGTATCGAATCGACCGAAATGCAGAGACTTGATACTCCATGCTGCTTGAATGTAAAGTGGTCACCTGACCACAGGCTGTAAAGCGGCACATGACACACTCCGCCTGTGCAAGCACCCAAGAACACCCGGATCTCTCGCTTTTTAATCAAACTGCACCGGAAGGCCAGGGAAGACGCGCAAAACGGAGATTGTCTGTTGCAGTGCTAGCATTAAAGTCGGCGATTGCTCCGGAGGTGAATGATTTCGTTTTGGCATCGAGTCTTTCATTGTGAGCTCCTAAGGAATTAAGATCACTAGACAGGACGAAATAAAACCTGCATTTCGCCATCAAGAACCCATAAACGCAGGGGACCGCTATATGTACAGGAAAATTTAGACCCATTACCATGCCGGTCCCAACCATGGATAATGCAAATGCTTCGAGCGCCGGAGGGAAGAGATTCGAGGAATAACAAGAAAAATCGTTCTAATACAGCGTGGACCAAAAGTAAATTAAAAAAAAAAAAAACAACACCCTCCCGCTTTGCTGAAACAAACCCTTAATGGACAATCATTTCGGACAACTGGTGGCGAATGGAGGTCGACTCGGTTCGAGTGCTAGAATACAACGAAACGGAACGAGCGGCATCTACAGAAGGGTCTTGCGCACAAGCTATAATTGAGTTAGCGAAACTTCCAACCTTAGGGAACGAACGGATTCCACATACAGCCCAGCCTCCTGCAATAGAAGCCACAATACCGCCAGAGATCATCATGGGCTTAAGACCCCTGGTGCTCTTGAAGAGCATACCACTTAGGGCACCCGCAACGATACTGTTGGCAGAGTCATGCTTTCCTCGCGCATATCCGATTCCCGAGTTAAAGCCGTTATATACCATAGCCACCACACCGGCGGAGTTTCCGAGGAAAGGACCTCTCCTTGTGATAGCGTTCAGGACACCGTTAAGGCGAATCTTGGGGGGTGCCGTCGCAGGCACCTTCCTCATGCCTTCAGCAAGACCCCATGCTCCTCCAATGGTCAAACCAGCAAGGTACGTTGTTCCAGCTCCATAACACAGATCATCGGACCATCCACGAGATGGCAAAAGTGATTGCGAGCCAGGCGTTTGATCAAGGGCGGAGTCTTCGAGGGTGATATAATCGAGGGTATCCTGGTTCAGGCCAGCCAAGGGGTGGAGCGAGGTAGGATCAGGGATGGCGACCTCCGAGAGGAACGACGTAGCATCTTGCGCGGTGGAAGGGTCGAATTCGGGGCCCTTGGACTGTTTGCGGCCGCTAAGTGAGTCCCAGAAAGACATTTTGAAAGAGAAACGTTTTATTAAAATGAATACAATTAAGAAGGTAATAAAACAGGAGAGGAAATGAACAACGTTTGGTATGCCACTCTGGCGCTGCTGGTCTCCGTCGCGAGTCTGGAAATTCGAAGGAACCAGAACAAAAACTTCAACCCCGTGACGGGCCGAGTCACGAGTAATCACGGGCAGTTCTCCGGTGTCGGGAAAAGCTTTGGCCGACGCTAACCGCTTTGGGTGGACCCGCCTCGAAAATCCACGAAAAGTGATTCCCCAGCGCGGGGGCGGGCATTTGAATATCAAATCTTTTTTTTTTTTTTTTTAAGAAATTAAAATAATATCCTTGCTCACCGGATATTCCATTGCTCGGGGCTTAACGGACCCGGTAACGCAATGGATCTTCAAGCAGGGTCTAGCGTCCCGGGTGACGCCGGGTATCAAAAAATGGAGGCGATATCGCAAGATATACAACTCCTTCCGGAAGCGACCCTCAAAGAAATTAGCAAAGGATTGTTGGTAAACTATATTCTGTCATGTGAAGATATCGAGTAAGACTGTACTGTTCATTTGTGCCTGCCACAGTCTAACATATTGAAAAAGCAAAGTGAACCGAGTATGGCAGAGCCTATTGAAGACGTTTTCGACGGCTTCAACATCTAACACCCATACCACGGCTTCATGCAATACGTTAAGCGCGTTTCTTGACGCCGCGCTTACTTCAAAATGTGAAGGAACAAGAAAATTGGCTTGTTCCAACGAGACTTGGTCTGCTGTTTTTGAAGTTTACATGGCTCGCTATAAAGATTCAAATCCAAAGGGGATGAGGCAAATCCTGGAGTGTCTGGTCAGCCTCTTTAATAAAAACCCTCAAGAAACTGACAAAGATGTTATCCGATCCAAGATTACTGAGACAACCGTCCCTAGCATTATCCTGGGCGAGCCTCGCTCGCGACTTAAGGCGTCTTTCGTTTCTTTGGAGACTCTACTACGGAAGGGCTCAATCTCTCCCATTGAGCTTATCTCAATGGTGGAGAGTTGGCTTCTGGATAATCGTGAAAGATGGATATCCCTCCTTCAGGAGGATTGCAAAGCTTTGTCTATAGATATCACTCGCTTCCTGGGAAGTGCCCCAAGCCCGGAGTCGAAACAAATTGTGGCTGAGATCCTTCTTTTGAGATTATTAACCCAAGCAAAAACTGCAGAGCTTGCTGCATCATCAGGGGATTTAATGGCTGCATTCTTCCAAAAAGTGAAAAGTTCTGGCACGTCCGAGCCGTCATCTCAAGAGATCTCTCAGAACTTATCGTCGATTTGGGTGACTCCAGTTAAGCACCTTGCGCTGCAGAACCTGGGCAATCTAGAGCTGATGTCTAATTACACCCTCCAACCTTTGTTTAAACTTGATCCCATAGGCTTTAGAGCATTTTTAGACAAGCTACACTTGAAGAACTTGCTCGCAGGCGATATGAGTGAAGCGCCTTTACCCGAGCTGACGCTTCTTTTCGCATCGCTGCAGATGGCAAAGAAGGTTGGCCTAGTCCATGAGGAGAGTAAGTGGAGAAGGTGTTTTTGATCTTTCTAGTGTTAATCTTACTTACCATGCTTCTAGACTACATTCCCAAACCGGGGTCTTCAACCAATGACGCCCAGAATGCGCTAGTTCTTAAGAGTGAAATGATTGGCCAGTTCTTATTCCATAGAGAACATAGTATTAGGATGGCAGCGCTTTCACTTCTGATCACGGCACCTGCGACAACAAAGCCCGTTTCGTCAGCCACGATAAGAGCTATATTGAAAGGCCTGCCATCCATGCACTCTGAATCTGCAGACCCATATGCTAGAGGAGAAATCCTGAGTTTGATACGCAAACTGATTCCTCGCCTCAAAGGAGGTATCCTGAGCGAGCATGAAAGCTTGGCGGAGACAAACGTCTCACATAGCAGAAAGCACCCGCCAAAGTTTGCCCGTGATGATTCTGAAACACAAAAGTGCTTGAGAGAATACTTGGAGCTACTGAAAGATGATCTGCGACCCACAGCCTCTTACCCGCGCCATATCATGGCATTGAAAACATTGATTCATCTACTTGAGTCTGGCCTCGACGCCCGGTACGCTGGTCATATTGCTGCCAAACAGGCAGGAAATGTGACAAAGTGGCGACTCAACATGGATATTTTTGAGCCGAGCCTGCTCAGATTGCTGGTAGACCTTTTACTGGATCCATATGAGGAAGTGCGGGCTACATCCCTCACTTTGCTTAATTTGTTTCCTCAAGACGTCTTGTTAAGTGGCTATGTGCATTCTGGAAGCAACAGGAAGCATGAGAAGCCGCAGCTCGTGGACGCCTTGAATAGAGCGGAGCAATTAGCAAGTAACACTAGTAGAGCTGACCACGCCGACACTGTCGCTCGCTTGTATCACATCTTCTTTACAGCAGCAGACGACAATAGCTCGAGGGTGGCGGATAGTTGGTGGGAAACAAAACAAGGAGTTGTCGATACTCTCCTGAAGAAACTGGAAGAAAAACTATCCCTTGCAGGTGGTCTCTTCAACTCTTCCATGCGTGATGCGCCTCTACACGGTTACGTATCTGCTCTTAGGTAATACCCCATATCGAGTATAGCCAACGCGCTGAAGCTGAATTATTCTTTAGATATATTGTCCTGACTCCTGACTTTCATGTCTTGATCTCGAACGCACAGACAGGTTACGAGGCCTGGCGAGCTGTACACTCGAGGATAGTGGCTGTTTGTGACAAGATTTGGGTTGAAGTGAAACCTGTGCTCTGCATTGATTCTCCGGAAGGCCATACCGATGAACCCATTGACGATCTAGCCGTTGGCCCCAAGGATATCCTTTCATATTCTTGGCGAGCACTTCGGGAGTCGAGGTAATTTCCGCTCTCCACATTCATCTTCCCCGCTGACAATTTTAGTCTTCTGCTTTATGCAACACTCTCCAATAGGACGTACGGCCCGAAAGGAGAATTAGGTTTGACGAAGGGTGACTTTGAGACAATAGGAGTCGCAAGTTTCACTCAGCTGGCCGAGCTTCGCCATAGAGGTGCATTCTCGACGGTGTCTCAAACATTTGCCACCTGTTGTTTGCGTTGTGGACAGTCGAGTGATCCTGAGATTGCAAGCCTACCTCATAAATGGTATCAAGTGAGTATTTCAGACGACAGGGTTCCGATGAGTAGAATGCTTATTCGTCGATATAGGAAGCTAGAAAGATTATCTTCGAGACAGCATCAAAGCTTACGCGTCGTTCCGCTGGGCTTCCTGCACTGGCCACTGGAATTCTTTCATCTAACCCAGGAGGGCCGCTCTTCCAAGAGGTCATCAAAGAGCTTCTCGAGATATCTCACCTCCCAGTACAACAGGATGACGATAACCAGGAGATGGAGTTACCTCAAGTCCATGCTCTGAACTGCCTGAAGGAAATCTTCACCAATACCAAGGTTGCCGCTCATACAGAGCCGTTTATTATGCCCGCTTTGAACCTGTCAGCTGAGCAGCTAGGGTCGCCAGTGTGAGTGATACAACGTATTTTGGTCACATTACGAGTGTTAGAAGGCTAACTTCCGTTTAGTTGGAACCTAAGAAATTCTGGATTGATGCTCTTCCGAGCTTTACTAACGCGCATGTGTCGCAGGGGTACTGGCTTAGGGTTCGGCGGTAGCTCCGGATCGGAACCCGGGGGTAGAATTTCTTTCCAGAAATATCCGGGTCTTATTCAGCTGCTATCTGACCTTCTGTCGTCTTCGAATGCGAGAAATAACGCAGAACAAGGGGACCATGCAATGGTCACTGAGCGAGTCTTCCCAGCTTTGGAACTCATTGCGGAGAAAGTCCCGAATGTTTATGATACAGACGACGCGATGTTGCTAGGACTAGTCCGGGAGCAGCTCAAGAGTCCGGTGTGGGGCATCAGAGAACACGCAGCTCGTGTTTATGCATCTTTATTGAATCGCCCTGATATTCTGAAAGATATCCAAACGCTACTTGATATTGATCGGGATTCGAAGTCTCAGGACTATCTCCATGGAAAGGCACTGTCTATCAAGTATGCTCTGCGCAGGTTCGGTGCTGCGTCGCTCTCATTTTGGAGTGGTAAGTAATACTTGCATACCATTTAGTGAATCGTATTGGTTGACATGACTACAGAACATATCAACGAAGTATCTGCGGCCTTGCGACAGATCTTTGCAACATTGTTCCCAATTGCCGAATCTCCATTCGTTGCTAACACCTTGTTGGAGATCCTGGGTGAATCGGTGGAGAAGAGCTTCGAGTCAGGCACGGAAGGTAAATCGAGCTCCCCTCGAAAACTTGCATCTGTGACTAATTAAAGGTGTAGAAAAAATGTTGATGACTATCTGCTACACATACGACTCGTATGGATTCCAAGATATCCTAGAGTATCTTTTTGATTCTTCGAACCCGAATTACAATTCATTGAGCACAACTCGCGCTTCTTCAATGCTCCGGAGATCTCTTTCGTGGGTTGGAGTATTGCAAATGTTTGTGACCGGTGAATTGGATGAGCTGGCGCCATTCGTCAAGACCGTTTCGAGTTTCGATCCCAATGCTAGTGTATGGCTGCTGCAGCGGATCCAGGGCACAATTGGAGCCAACGAAAAATACCGAAAGACCTTGCTACAACTGTACCCTTCTATCATCCTCGGCGAATACCCCGAAGATGTGAAGGGCTCGGCCATCTCGTCCCTGGCATCTATCTTGGAAGATCTACTTGACTTCCACCATGATAAATTCAAGGACGTGGACTTACCATGGGAGGAATTAGACCAACATATCAACTCCACCCCGAACGACGAGGTACGGAACAGAGACCGATCCGACGCTGAGATCCGCCTCCAAGGATGTCTTCTGGCAGCCAAGGCTATTTCCAAACAGGGTCAGATCTCCGAGACGGACATTCGCAGATGGGCCACGAAGCTCCGATTCGCCATGGAAGAAGAAACAGTAAGCGGTGTTTTCCATCCATCCATATCTCGCTCAAGTTAGTTACTAACCAAGCCCAGGAATTTACCACTCGAGATGCTGCAGTGACCTCACTCACAGCATTTGCACGTGTGTTGCGGAGCAAAGGCAAAGCCCCGCTTGTGGATAAGGTGTACTTGGAGATCTACCTTATCTTATATGACATGCTGAGCGACGATGACGAAGAGCTGCGTGATATGGCTGCCGGAACAACCTCCTGGGTTCTGTCCTATTCCTCCGTGGCCCCCTCCAAGGCCGTTGCCTTGTCTCCCTTGAACGCTGGCCAGCTCCTTGCCGACTTCATGGTCGATAACTACCCCGAGTCTCAACTCCTGTCCACCAAAGCAATCCACTATATCACCGGACAGGAACCGAAACTCAGCGGCTCTGTCGAATCCACAAAGCTTGCCACGGTAGAGGCACAGCTTGCCGAACTGAGGAAGGAGAGCACGACCTTGTTCGAAGAAGAGAGGCAAAACCTGTTCGTCGAGGAAATCCGCGAAGTCGATATCTGGTCCCGTAGACTTCTGGGACTGAGAGAAGCTGCCTTCAACGAGCGTGTAGTCAAGGAGACCTCGAAATGGGTCTCTGACGGCCTATCATACGTGGTCGATATCATGGCGAACGAGTCCGGAAAGGACGGACTAATCGGCTGGGCTTCGAAGCCTGAAACGTTCACCCTGGGTGTGAGGCTGATTAGCCTCGCGGCCGTGCTGGTGTCAGAGGAGTTTACAGCTTCTGGGTACCTATATGAAGACCGGAGTGCTCTCAAGGAGAAGCTGCAGAGACTTCTTGGCAATGGGGAAAAGGCATTGCTGCATGATAACTGGGTTGTGAGAGTTCAGGATGCATTGGGTATTAAGGGTTAGGATAGATAAAAGTTAGACATGTTTAATACCAATTGTTTGTTCCTTTTATGTGATTTCGCCTAGTACTTTCGTAGAGACTGACCCAAAACATGAGATGTTGCACACTAATTCACTGGAAGGAGGTCGCCGGGCACAACCAGGTCTGTGATTCTCACCATCACCACAACAGTAATTCCAAATCCAATATGCCACCCCCTCAAAAGAGTTTCACACCAACCCAACATCCATCCTCATCTCTCCAAAGTTCAACCACGCCTGAAACCGGGAAACTCACATCTCAAGTATGTCCAACCCGAACCCGAGCCCTAATCCCAATCTCAGTCCCTCAACCCCCCATCCATACCAAAGCAAGTAACCAGTTTAACCAACCAACAAACCCTCACGAAAGAACCTCCAATCAAACCAACAACCCAGACAAAACTGAACCCCCCCCCCAAAAAAAATGAACAACAACATCATAATAGCCATAATAGTGCTAATCCTCCTCGGAATAACCGGAATCGTATACCTCTACTCCATGCGGTGGCGATCCCAAGCAAGAGCACAGCTCTTCATTGCGCGCGCAAAAACACGAAAGAAACGTATCTCGGAATCACAAGCCCAGCTTCAGGCTCAGGCTCAAGCTACCACCCCGATTCAAGTTACTGTTGTGCGTGGTCGTTCCCGTGCTCCTCCTTCACGGCGTCCTTCGCCGCGGCCTCCTGGGGCTGGGCCTTCTGTGTCTCAAGGTCCGTCTATGTCTCTGCCTCCACGAGGGGCATCGACGATGTCGAGGCAGGGGAAGAGGGGGAGGAGTAGACCAAATGAATGGCAGGATAATCGGCTGGGGACTGGATCGGGGGGACCGAGGGATCAATCTCGGATGTCGAATGAGCAAAAGAGGAAACAGAAAGAGAATCAACAGACGGGGCAGACTGCGGACGATAATAGTACGGCGGGCTTTGGTGGTGGTAATGGTGGTGGTGGGTATCAGCCGGCACAGCAAGAATGCTCTAATCAGGCTGTGGATGATGAGTGGGGTCCAGGCCCGTCCCAGCAGGATAATACACAATACACGGGGCCGCAGGATGAACAATCACAGCCGGCGCCGAATGATAATGAGTGGAGAGCTAGTAATGAAGCTGTTGCGGGGGGTCCTGGAGGACCTACATCTCCTGAACCTGAGTGGCCTACCACGGGGGATGATGGAGGACAACAGGAAGTGACGCAGGGTAAATGGCATGCTCATGATGCGATGGAACAGAGGACTGAGCAGCAGCAAACGGATACGGGGATTCAAAGTGAACCGACCTGGTGATTGACTGTTGAACCTGTATTGTCTGTACTCTTAGTTATTGAGGGAATGTACGTTTAAGGGGAATAGACTGGGTTTGACTAATCGATGATGGGAAGAGTGCTGCGAGGGAAATATCCCAAATAGGGTGAATGTCGTTACAGAGCGCTGTATGAATTCTATGACAAAGGGGCTATCGCAACTATGGACATCTTGAAAAACGCAAAGCATTATTCGCACACAACCAACCGGCTCCCTTTGCATCCTCACGGATTGCCTTTCAGAAATGTATAATTCCAGACCAGTTACTGACAATGACTGATCCTGACTGTGGCGTGCGGCGGAGAATGGAATTAAGCTCCTTATCTCCGTCGTCTTGCGGCCGTATCAATCAACTAAACCGCATATCTATGAGCACACTGGTAAGATGAGAGTCTATAAATATAGTGGTGCCCCTGCATGTTGGCGAGGTACTCTGAATTATCAAAATCTCCTTTAAGCCTCCCTTCTTCAATTGTATTGTAATTCAACAGCTCATTCGTACCATCTGATATACAATGACCAGAGTTTGGTTTATCACTGGATGCTCTCGTGGTCTCGGCCTCGCCATAGCTGAAGCTGCGCTCAATGCTGGAGATTCTGTCATCGCAACTGCCCGAAAGCCAGAGCAACTCGCAGGCCTGACGGAAAAATATGGCGGCGAAAGAGTCTTTGTCCTAGCCCTAGACGTCAGCGACAACGACCAAGTGATCGAAGTCGTGAAGGCTGGACATGACAGGTTTGGGCGAATTGACATTGTCGTCAATAACGCAGGCTACGCCAACTCAGTCGCTATCGAGGATATTGATATCGATGATTTCCGGGCTCAAGTAGATGCGAATCTCTTCAGCGTTGTGTACGTTTCGAAGGCGGTCATACCCATCCTTCGCCAGCAAAAGTCCGGCCACATATTTCAAATTTCCTCGGTTGGTGGACGACTCGGTGTGCCGGGTCTCTCTGCATATCAATGTTCAAAATGGGCAGTTGGAGGTTTCTCGACCGTGCTCGCGCGAGAAGTGGCGCCACTCGGCATCAATGTCACCGTGGTGGAGCCTGGTGGCATGAAGACTGACTGGGCTGGCTCGTCAATGCAAATTCCCCCAGTGAGCAAACCGTACGAGAGTACCGTGGGCTATGTCGCCGATCTACGTCGGAAAAATTTAGGAAATGAACCATCCATACCAAGTAAGGTCGCAAACATTATTCTTAGGTTGTCGAATGAAGAGGAACCTCCTCTGCGACTTTTGATCGGCCCTGATGCGGTTGAACATGCCGAAAAGGCGGCTGAGGTTCTCGCAGCATCTGACGCAAAGTGGCGTGCGTTGAGTGTTTCTTCAACCTAGTGCAGTCTCCTCCAGTTGGTAAGAGCTTCACTATCGGATTTTAAACTTGAAGATTTGCATAACTGACTTCGGCTATCAGATAGAGCATTGCCATCGTGGTCAAATTTGTGTGAGAAGGATGGCTGAAAGCAATAAGGAACACTTACTGTCCCGTGATTTCTGACCGAAAGGATCGTGGCCTGGATGCAGTTAGCTAGAAGATGTGAACTTTCTTCTAGGGTGTACTGAGCCTTTGGGGAGGTACACCTAAGCGTATCGACCGCTTTGGTTCCGTCCTTTGTTATAGGCCATGGTTGAGGTCAAACAGTGGTCAAGTCTCAAAGTCGCACGACCAGCAATCCGATATAATATCCCCATGATTTCGCATTAGAGTTTGTATTGCCAAGCTTGAGGCCTGTAATCCACCAATCGTAGCATCAAGTGAAACAAGGGCTTTCAGGATGGCGTCGATATGTTGTTTCCAGGTGGAGTCAGCATGGAGACTTAGGGTGCCCACACCACGAGGCGAACATAACTGCAAACAAAGTATGTTCTCGATAGCTTTTTGGAAGGTAGCCGCTACTAGTGTAGGGGTGATATGGTAGGAGAGTGCCGAAGCCTCAGCACTAATGCCGTTCTGGAGGTTGAACATCTCCTCGAAAGGAAGCGAGAGCACGCGCTCTGCTATCCGTGTTACTGATAAAGCAGCCTCCTCGGTGAAAGTTTGTAGTCTTGAAAAGATACTGTGACTGCAAGGTGGGCTTAACCCCGTCATAGTAGGTTTCAGACTTTCCATCAGAACAAAGACACCGAGGTTCCAGAACATTAAAATGGAGACTGTTCGCTACTGGTTAGAATGGCAATGAACTTGGACATATCGAAGGGGGTTCATGGTCATATGCGTGACGTACCAGAAGACAATCTTGAGCGCATGGAAAGATATCCAATATTTCCTATACAAAGGTCCAAGGAAGAGCCAAACACGTCCTTGAATTTACCAACTGCTGTGATCATCGAGGTAATATCCGCAGATAGGTTTGGAAATGATCCAATGTCATTCTTGATCGGGCTAGAGAGGGATCCTTTTATTGAAACTATGTGTTTCCAGACACGGAAAGCCTCCGCGGCTGCTGCGCGACATAAACCGGGGACACTGTCATCAAAGTCTTGATTGAAGCTCCGATGAAAACGAGAAGGCGACATTGGCTCGTATCTGGAAGAAGTCATTTGACCTAAGAGATACTTAGTAAATAGTTGGCGTTCAAGGTACGAACCATTTACCTTTGTCATTACCTGAAACGTCAGAAAGCTTGCATACGTGATCTGCTGTGAGTGCTGCCCCTATATCACGGACATGACCACACCATCGCACTACGCTCAGGCTGGTTTCCATTACAGGTCCATATATAGAATGCGGCCCCAGGTTCATACAGTATTGCTCAACAAGCCCAGTCAAGCAATTCAGCTTCTGCAACCCCGCATCAAGAAATTCATGGGCTACGAGAGTCTCGCCGCTCGCCTTCGCTGGAATTGAAATACCATCGAACATTAATATCGCATATATGACTCTGAAGGATGGAACAGAAAGCGCACTATTGATAAGCGATCGTGCTTGAAACCAGCTGTCATAGAAAGCGTCCATCGATGAATCGCGGGGCGTGTCTCTGCTAACAGCACTGTTATGGTTGTTTGTCAATTGAACCCCGGTGGTAGAATTGATAGGAGAGAGCCACTGAAGCGAGAATGCTCTGAGCACCGCTTTCAAAACAGCGTCTGACTTTCTTCGAGCAGGGACCGTCAGTCTGTTGCCATAAAGGTCGCTGAAATGGTCTAGAAAACGAATGGCCCCCAATATTGTCATTCTGTAGTTAGCATCCTGCGTTATAGATACGTTTTCTTTTGAAATAGGATCTAGTTGCACAGGCTTTTGATCCTGCGGGCTTCCGCAGTCACCATCTTCTAACCGGTAGCAATGTCGAGGTTTGTATAGATTGCATTCATAGCCTATAAACCTGGACGCGCAACCTGTGACGATCGTATCATGGATGCGGGCCAGGCATTGATCAAGTATCGTTGCGCTCAATTTAGAATTAAGCAGATGGAGAGGACTGCTAGGCGAGCTACCGATGTTAAGGCGTGTATTATACAGAACAAGATGCTGTACTGAGTCCGAGCGATGCGTCAAAAGAGAAGTGGCAATCCCATCATGATGTCGTGCTAATGTTGCGTTATCCGCAAGTATGTCTGGGAATTCCGTGCTGTGTAGAAAAGATGTGGAATTTTCATCAAGACAATGATCAAGATCAATGTTAAGCCAAGACGTCAGAATGTCCTGATCTGCTACAGGTTGGCTGTCATGGACTGCATCAACCCCGTTTGCTAAGGTGCTTGTTGACTCATCGCATTTCCCAGACAAATTAGCCCTTGGTGTAAGACGCCTTCGGCTCCTTCGCGTTAATACCCGTGAGTGAGATTTGGCAAAATCAAAAGTGCAAGGTGATCCTATGCGCTTGCAGTTAGTGCATACTGAGTGAGGGTCCCCATCGTTCTCAGGTGGCAAGCAGCAACGCCGTTTCGATCGTCGGCATGCATCGCAACTTGAATACTGGCGCCGCGTGGGTGCAGTGGAAGGTGGCATCTGCACCGCTGATATAGTGTTTCTGTATTATTAGTCTGTTTATTTATCGCTAAAACAGCAAGGATATTGATATTGCAGTAACGGGATGAGTATAGAAGAAAGTTTAGATTTCCTTCAGAACAAACCGGACATCTGACCGATCCAGTCAGGTGACATGCCCTATCGCCAATTTTTATACATCAATAGGTTGTAAAGATCTGCAACGGCTTCTTCATTGTATCGTAAATTTCTCTGAAACTTTAGAAAGAGTGCTATACAGAAGTGTTATTGGTTTGATACCCATTGAAAACCAGGTTCGCCCACTTTCTAGGTTCACAGACATCAAAAGTTGTTGCAAGGCCATCTATATAGTACCCAACGTTTCATGTGAAATAACCAAGCGCAAGTGAAACGTTCTATCATCCGTTATACGTTCTCTCCAGCAGCACGACGAATACAGTCCACGACAAAAGTCGGATTGCTCAAAAACGGTGAGTGTCCCTCTTGGCATCTTTCAACATGGAAAACACCATCGCCTTGTGCAATCATTCTCTCTTGATAGGATAGCGCTAGGGCCTTGTCGTTCTCGCAGACGATGTATGTACTAGGAATCTCACGGTAGGCCGTGTAAGTCACAGGTACAGTGAGAGGGCCTGTTGGAAATGAGCCCAGGAGTTCCACTGCCTCATCCACATCTTGGGGATCACAGCGATTATAAAAAACATCTCGAATGACCTCCTTGTCTAGAAGCATAGCTCCATCCTAGTAATATAACAGCAGTGATCAGCACCTCCATTCAAAGTAAAGGGCACATCCTAATCAAATTGTATAGGAGCCATCCCCCATACCTCTGTAAAACGCATGCCCCCGTACTTTGCCTGTAGCTCCTGGCGTTGCCGCTCCAGCTCCTCTTCCTCCGGTGTCTGGGGCTGGATCTGACCAACATGAGTCTGACCCTCAGGCAGCGCCATAGCACACATGTAGATCAGTCGCACAACACCGCCCTTTAAACCTTGCTTCTCGCGCGCTTCCTTGCCCAAGCCTTTCACAGCCTCAGACATGGCAACGCCACCAAACGAGTGCGCGACCGCAATGACATCATTGCCATTGACAAGGCTCTTCATGATAACCTCACGGACGGCTTGGGCATCTTGATCCCAGCTGGCATGGGGAGGGCTTGAATTAACAGACGGTAATGTCACGCCGACAGCTTCGTAGTTGAACTTTGCCAGTCCGTCGATGAGGTATTTGTAATGTTTCGGGCAATGCCATGAGCCCGGCACAATTACGACAGTAGGGTTGTTGGACATCTTGGTATCTTTTGAACAAAGGGGGAAATGTATGACTTGCAATGACTGGATGAGTAGAGAATTGAGAATCTGGGTGACTCGAAAGGGCGACGAGAAGGGATAAATAGTTCGAGGGGCATACCATCGGATCCGCAGTCCAGTGTAATGTTACGGCGGAGCCGACGATGACCATCGGAACCGATAGGCACTTACACCTTTGAAGCTTGGCAATTTAGACCCAGACAACCCTGCAGAAGGAGCGATAATATAGATAGATAGATGTACGTGGTTATATGAGAAAATAATCGAGGTTTTGGGTCGTACTCGCTGATCATTTGGTTTAATTGTCTTGTATGGAGTGGAGTGCATGGTGTTGCTCCAAGACGATTGCACCCGATCCACTGGGGACATCGGACAGTTCTACACAAACCTCAACAGGTTTACCGAGCATAGTGAGTAGACATTTGGATTTCCAAATATGTATATTTCATTGCATTTTATTCTTCTCAAGCAAGGGCCGACAGGATTTCTCCACTGTGGAATAGTATAGATCATTACTATGTGTATTGCCGTATTGCCGTAAGCATATATAAATGCGGTACTGTAGAAGATAAATGTATCAATTTGAGTGAACCTTTCTTAATAGAGTTGAAATTTCTTTGCATTCCAAATAAAATATGTATAAAGCAATTATGAAATTCATTAACTATACCAACGTTAACCTGAAAGCAGGAACGTGTTTCATGTCGCGAAGGGCATATCTAGGATATTTCCATTCGGGACGAGTTTTCTGGTGACTTAGAAGTATGCCCTAGCTGGAACCTAGACAGTACATCACTGGTCGAGCGAATAGAGCGTCTTCCCATTTGATCTCTCTTCAACTATAGTCGTTCTTCGAGTGATACGCAAGTATTAGTAGACCGGCCGGATACAGTGACTACTTATCAAGCTGGAAATTGCGACATTACTTTACATTGAAAGAGCGATATAAGGGCATATGCCGTAATTACGTCCAACAACGTATAAGTAATAAGATAATATAGACTTAGACCAACGATGATATTCTCTTTAGACTGATCCAGTTGATTGTAAAAAGAATGACCTCAGTATACCCTGATCAGCCCTACCAGTTAGGTCCACGCCATCTCTACCCATCATAGTCTGGAAGCAGTTACCTGCAAGTCTATGGACCATGATTTACTTAGGACACGAGAACTTAAGTGTCACCAGTGACAGATCGTTGAGCTGCTTATGCCGGTTTTATCAAAGCGGACTGCTGGACGGTGAAGTTCCTTGTTCATCAGTTAGTATAACTTACTTAGATTCCAAACCAACCGCATTGTCCCACATCGACCTGGTCACCGACCGGCTATGGTAATCAGCTCCTTGAGGGTTACATTGAACTTAATGAACTGAACACGAGCCACAGAACGCCACGCAGTTCAAGCAATTGAAGAACAATATGCTAGTGAACATGTATATGGTATCAGTCTGGTGACTCTGGTCATTTTCAGTATTATGATTTTATATTAATATGTTTTGTTTGATTAGTCCATGGTTATTATTCTCTTTGCAAGAAAGAAACTCTCGGTTTCGGGACCTGGACTTTTGAATATTTTGGTCTCAGATTTATATATCAAATTATGCTTGCACACAAATGTCTAGCCTTGTAGATAAAAGGTGCAACTACTACAAGTATCTGGGATTTAGTGAGAAAGGTCCTACCAAATTACTCTATCAGGTCGGCAAAAAAAGCACAAAAAAAGAATACCTTCTCCCCCGAGCTGGAATAGCCGGCGACCTTTCAGTTATATGTGTATACCACTGCAGCCGAACGCCATATCCAATTAGACCATCGGGGGTTTCTAGGTTGGATAGACAGCTTCCTGATTGAGTATATCAAGATAAACAATGTAAAACCACAATATTTATCCCAACCCAATACCTTCACCATTACCTGAATTCTTTCCCAATCAGACCTAGTTTAACCATTTAACCAATCCACGATACTGCGCTTGTCAAAGCTATGAGTACCTTGACAGCCCATACCTGACCATGAACCTTTAAATCCCGATGGTCTAGTTGCATATGGCATCTGACTATGATGGATACTTCTACGTAAATCCCGAGTTCTTTGAATCAATATATCCGCGTTCTAGACCACATCCACTTCGTGTCCCCTGTATATCCCGAGCTGTTATAGCATATTCCATGACTTGTATCAATCGGCGATTGATGATGGCGTTCATCGTGAGCGTTAGGATGACAATGACATGGTATGATGTCAAACGTGAATAATCCCTTTCGGCCGACTGAGATGGCGAACCTTCTCTCGGACGATAAGATTAGTTGTCGCCCGAGGGGAGAGTAGGGTTGAATCACTCCTAGTATAGGCCACGGAAGACATGCGACAAAGTACAAAAGAAGATATTTTGAAAGCAATTTATACCATGTAGGTCTTTTAAGCTATCAATATCCGTTCCCCGCAAATGTGCGCGGGGAATATGAGGTTCGGGGGAGACAATGAAGGAAGCGGGTTTAATGTGTGGTTCGGCAACCCGTCCAGGGTTCTCGGCCGTAGTTGGACCCACCCAAAGACAGGTCCGATTTCGGCTACCAAATGACGTGATTTGAAAAATGAAGTGGACGGAAAAGTTAAGGAAAAAAAAAAAAAAAAAAAAAAAAAGCGATCGTCCATATAACATG